TACAACCCAGATCATCTGTGGATGACACAAATATATCTTTAAACTTGAACAGAAGCATCTCTAGTCGCTGCTTATCGGTATCATCTAAATAGACAGAACTTCGATTTAGTAAGTCCTGTAAATGATCTTGTAGCTTACCATCCACATTATCTGTATGACCTTCGGCAGATATTTTGGCACATCTATGAACACTGTCTATGTTTTCATCATTTTCATATTTTTCTTCATATGAAGACTTACAGCTACCTATATTCAAACCTTTATGAAGTGTTACACTATCATCACTGTCATTTATTACACCAATACCAATTTCTGCTTTGCAAGGATCAACCACTCCTTCGATTATTTTTATACCTTTATTTGCTTGAACACCTACGTCATTTTCATAAAACCAGACTTGGAAAGTTTATCGCTGCTTGGTATTCTGACTTTAAACATATGCGATTGACCTAGACTCTACCTCAACGCTTTCCCTTAACAAAACACGACATACCGTTCGACTTCACACTTGTTAAAACCTGTATGTTTTTCTCCCAGTACGCAATGTAATTTCAAAGCATCCATATCCCAGTTTCGAACATGTTCAAAATAAAATCTTGTCCCAATGATACCTTCAGCGTAATTACATCTTATTGGATGTTTAAATTTTAAATTTACCAAAGGGGAATGTTGAAATTCTTTTTCTAAACCTTAAATTTTAACCTTTACACCCTGTATTTTCATTTCTTTTCAGGTAAAAACTTTTAAAATTAAGCTTATCAAATGTTTTTTTTTAGAAAAAAAGGTTGTGCTAACCCCTTCAAGTAAAAAGTTTATAGTTTTTATTTTCTTTTCCTTAAACGCGTTTTTCAAAATTTTTTTTGGCCAATGACCAAATTTGGCCAAAAATTTTTATTTTATTTTTTTTTACCTTATATCTTTGATTTTCAATTGAGACTTAACAGCTGGTCACAGTATCATTAACTTTACTTTCACTTTGAGGTCTTTTATTTGAGTTGGTGTCCTCTCTCGACCTACAGGGAGGACTCTTCGCCGTTTCCCGACATTTGATTTGATTTGCCTTTTAAGTTGGTATCATTCATCTTCAATTTATGTTGGTTAGGGCAATCCCTAATGAAATGATCTGGTGACTGACAATTGAAAACATGTCCTTGGTACATTCATTGGTCTCCCTTGTCTCCTTTCAATCTTATCAAGTCTATATTGAATAGACTTCAAGGTTTTATGAAGTTCATCACTGCTATTTACATAGGATCTGTCCCATCTGCTTGAGGATTTATATGATGAGTCTGGTAGTGACTCATTGACTTGGCGAACAACATCTCGGCGTCTGTTATGACTTGCGTTATCACCCAATAATTCTTCATATCTTTCTACAACCTCTACAGCAGCTGTGATTGTTTTACAATCACGGTCCATAACTCTGCATCTCATCTCAACTGAAAGAGCTTTATAGAATTGTTGAAGTGCCAGCATTTCTTGAGCTTCAGATTCTAAATTGCTGTAAGCTTTTCTTGCCAGTAGCCTGAGGTCATCACCAAAGGCTGCAATAGATTCACCATATAATTTTGTACGTGACTGGAATTTCGACAGCCATCTTGTCTGTTGTCGCGCACTACCAAACTTTGTTCAAGCGATATAATAAGTCCACGATAACTGCGTTTCTGGACTGCAGGAAGACTTGTATAGAAAATACGCGCTTGACCTTTCAGACTAGCAGCTAGAGTTAGAAGCATTTCTTTCTCATTCCATTGTCCTAATTCAGCACAGTCCTCAAAATGTGATATATACTGCTCCCAATCTTCCTCACCAGTAAATGGATCAGGTTTAATTACAATTGAAGGCCTTCGAGACCTGTTACAACAATGAAATTGTCTGTCATATCTATTTGGTCTGTCATACTGTTCATCCCCTTGTTGACCTCTTATTTCACGCCTAGGAGAATCATTAACATTCTCATGGTCACCTTGAGCAAGATTAAACTCAACCTCCGAATCTGAGTTATCCATTTTATTTTGTTTTTAAAATTCAAATACTCAAAAAAATATATATCAGTGGCCAAACCTGCCGCGCAGGGAGCTTTCCAGGGCCTTAACCTTAGATCATATATATAGGTACCATAAAAAAAAAATATTCATAAAGCTTTATTAATTTTGCTTTGGCTTCTTATCAACCCTAACTTAAAGATGCACCATTAATAACAGTAAACAAATAAGTTCAATATCACTGTTTTATAGGTTTACACTTCCAAATGTTTAATGTTCAATAGTTTATAATCTGTTTCACTGTAAGGTTCTTGATATTAGTCAGAACTAAAATCGGCACTTCTGACACCAAAATGTTACCGTTGTCACTGTTGAAATGATTTTGTCAGGATCACTTTTAAGGCTACTGAAGTTAAATGGTACGGTAATTTACCATAAAACTTAACCAATGAAAAAGAATATAAACACTTGAAAATACCAAAACGCTCAAGTACAGTTAATCTTATTTATTAAGATCTTCTGTTAAATAAATGCATAAAACAGGATAATTAAATACTGTAAAACAGGTAAATTATTGCCCTTGGTATAGTTATTGTAGATCTAATGAGTTCGTCAATGTAAAGTTGTTAAAGAAGGGGTTATATGAACGTGTTTCGCGTAAATTACAGTTAAAGTCTTCTAGCGGAATATTTATTTAGCGGAATGTTCAAGTTTTGACGGATTTCCGTTGTTTGGCGGATTTTTAGTTAGGGTTGAGCTACTGTTCAAATAATAACCTTGTTAGTCCGTGTTTCACGGTTGGAAAAGCTGCTCAACTGAATTGAGCGTCTGTATTTATAGACTTTGGCGTGTTAATTCCGAAATGAAATTTGCCCGCCGCTAAGACATTCAAAAGTACTTTTATCCAATAAGATTCGACAACGGAATTAGTTAACCAATCACAGCGTTCCGCTAAACGTAGCACACTCATGGCTCATACGCCGTCAGACAAAATAGATTCGCCAAGGATCCGCTAAAATGTTATTATTCTCTTATAGAATAATAAAGACATAAAATATCGGCAGATTTTTTATATAATAGTCACTCTTTTTCCAAAATATGATTATGGTAGTTTCGTTGCATTACAGTACTTTCTCGGAATTTGGCCGGATATGGAACTTATTTCCGCTGAATCCGTCAGCTAGAAAATGTAAATAATACACATCTTTGTGTTCTAGTGACACTTTTAGTGTATACTTTCTGCATCAATTGTAATGGAATAATAGTTCAGGTATATTTCTACATATCTGATCGTTATTATTGTTATTCTTTGGTCAGTTGAGTATCTACGCTCAATTGTCAGGTTATTTCGCGACCCGGATCATGTTCACAAAGTTCTGAACGATATTTCAATGTTTCTTTAACTCGAATCATTGAATACTTATACTGTTTACTGTTAGATATATAGTTGATAAACAACCACACAAATCACGGAAATGACAGAGCATATTTCAAGTAAAGGGAAGGTAATATCTCATCACACTGTTAAAATTATAAGTTATCATTTAAAAGAAAACACAAGAGAAATTTTGATCTTGATATCATATTATTAGGTAATTCGAGATCACATGTTTCACATTCATATTAAATGAATATATTATTCAATACAAATAGAAATTGTTTCATCATGAAACTCAATCAAAATGTCTTTGTCTATTCACATGACAATCCATTAATCATTACAGAAGTAATATTCATAATCCAGCAACTCTTTATAACTTCTACAAAATACAATATTGTACAATAAAATATACAAATAACACACAATAAGGGCGGGCGTGGAGGGTAAAATAGAATTTTCAACATGTGATCTTCTTGTCAAACGAATACAGAATGAACCAAAAAGGCAGAAGCGCAAGCGACAAAAAAGTTTACCGCCAAAAATATAGGCGACCAATAGAAAGTTGTTTACTGCATACGTAATGCATAAATTAAAATCCACCAATGAAAAAGAGTTTTTAAAAAGGTCAAATTCATTCAACCTTATAATTAAGTTATTTTAGTTCAAAATAAACAAAATGTTTACATGTCTATCCATAACACTATTTTTGGTTCAATGTCAATCTTACATGTCAAATGTCAAACGTCCTGGCCTAATGGCAGTCTAGTTGGTCCAGAATGACATGTTAATAGATCAATGTCAATCTTGCTTGCCTATCATCAATCATGCTGGTTCAAAGTATATCTCATTTGTCCAATGTCAAACTTATTGGCCTAATGTCAGTCTAGTTGGTAGTATGACATGTTATTAGTCCAATGTCAATCTTGCTTGCCTATCATCAATCATGCTGGTTCAAAGTATATCTCATTTGTCCAATGTCAAAATTATTGGTCTAATGTCTGTCTTATTCGTCTAGAATGAAAAGCTCAATAGACTATTGTAAATATTGCTGGTCTAGATCTAAGTCATTCCCGTTGGTCTAATGTAAAACTTTCAGTCACTTATGACCATTTTTTCTGGTCCAATATCAAGCCTACTGGTTCAGTATATATCTTGCTGTTTCAAATTCAGTCTTACTGGTTCAGTGTCAGTCTTACTGTTGTTTTGATCCTACTGATACAATGTCAATATTACTGAACTAATAGCAATCTGACTAGCCCAATAACAATATAAAATTCAAGTAGAAATGAAAGAACATGTTTACCAGTAAAAGTTTTTTTCTCTCCTTTCTTTATGTCTAAACAGTATCAAATATTTACTAGCTTAATCATTAGCTTCGTCATCTTCGTATTCATTTTATTTGCACATGTACATGGAACTCCTTTTTATTTATTACTTATTCTCACACAAAAACAATATATTTCATGTCCCTTATCTATCTATTTTAACAATGATAACAGATTCAGAAATCTTTCTGAAGTTCAAGCAGATTAACATTCGATTAGAAATATTTGTAAATATACGTATTGACAATATACCTGACATGCCTGATAACAGTGACATGTTGCGTGATATAAGACCATGAGCTAGCAATATCACAGGAAATTAATTTGTTTTACATTATATAACAGTTTCCGTTTATTGTGACAAATCATGATCTAAGATAGGTTTAGAATTAAACTAAGAAAAAGGGATAATTTTATGTTGAAAATTAAATCATATTAAACGAAACATTTCATTATATGTTATTGTTCTGCATAGCATTAGGAAATTAAGTTGAAATGAAAAGAAGAAGACGTAATCTCATTGAGTTTATGTTGTTACAATGTTTGCTCTATCTGCTTATGCAACAGCATCACGTGACTAACGCTCGATGCACTTGGGGATCGTGGTTGCCATGGAATTGCTCATGTTGTGGAGGTTCAGTGGATAAAGAGGTTTTCAGAGTTAGAGCTAAGTGTTGTGATAATACATATGAATGTGTAAACGTTAGAGTTGCGGCTCTAAACGTCACAGATGAAAATAAGTTTGAAGAAAAGGGCAGTTGTTTAAATGATTGTGGAAAGCTATTTTCTGACCACAATCCTCACACTTGTGTTTCATCAAAGATGAGTCTAGATGACGTGAAAGGACCAGGCAAGGTTCAATCATGTAATGACGTGTGTATAGGTAAGTTCACGGCGATTTTAGATTTGTAACATGTTTGATTGTTTTATATAATTTTGAATAATACATCCCGTAAAACAATAAGTTTTTAAACACATACTTACACCTTTAAATGAATAAGAATTATATTTTCATGACAAAATTGTCAAAATGGAAACCTCAAAAGTTCCCAGAGATTTAGCTAAATTAGAAACTGTTTCAGGTTCGGTTTAATTAAACGTGTTCATGGATGGCAGTGGTAAATCTAACTCTATGCCACTATCTTTGTTATTAAAAAAAATCATGTTTGAAAAATAAAGATGACATTTTTTTCAATTCAAAACCCCTACAAGTAATTATTGCTTATTTTCTTAGAATAACTCCGTCATCAAACGACATAATGTTAGAAAGATGATCCAAAAATATGATTTATAAAAAAATTAATATATGCTGCTCTCAAGTAAATAGAAATCAAATTCATATTAAAGATTTTTTCATTTACTATATTTACTTTTTCGATTCTAGGTATTTCGTTAAATTTAATTTCACTGTTTACATAAAATTATCTTCTGACAGACAATTTTAATTTTAAATGCTTACTTAGTAGTTTAGTATTTTCATAACCAAAACTTCAAAAAAATGCAAGTGTAATTTGTAATGAAATTTGATGGAAATACATTTAAAATCTAATGCTAGTCTTTCATGTTAATTTAAGATATAAACGAATGACGATATTGTGTATAAAACAGAATATCAAGTTTGAGATTCCTGAATTTGTGCTTATTTCTTAATGTAACGAGACCATGAATTTGGCTGATTATTTATATTGACTGTTTTATGCTAGGGGCAACAATTGCTATCCTTTGTCGCCAGAGCAACTACCAGATCAATACAATCTGAATAAGTTAGTCATAAATTTCAACATCCCCAACATTAATTATGAACTGAATTCAGTTAAGTATTAAGCATTTTAAGGGTCAATATACAGATTTGAGTTTTTTTTAATGAACACTATGTCCCCCTTGTGTGCGTGTGTATGTGCGGGAATGGGGATGTAAATGTAACTCTTGTAAATAATTTTGAAAATTAAAATGTTTTAAGGAGTTTGGACAACAACAACGCCCTTGACGACACCAACATCGCCTTCAACTTCTTTTAGTACTAACAGAAAGGCAACAGCGACTCGTTCACCACCTTCACGAGCCAGCGGCAACACTTTGACGACTGCCAAATCAACTCCTGAAGGATCAAGCACAGTATCGTATAAATCATCATCTAATGTGGAAAATGTCGAAGATCCAAACGACACAAATTGTGAGTAGAATGAATTTTGAAATTTTGTTTCTCATATTCATCATATTAGTATTTAAAAGTTGCTGCTGTGGTAAGACGTTCTATTCATCACTCTTTTCAAATGACTGTAAGATACAGTATTTTGTATGTTTATTTACGACAAGAAATTGTTTTTTTATGTATTTTTACTTGCGACAAGAAGTTGTATACTTTTTATTTTTTAATATTCATGGGTTGCCGTGGATCGTTACTTTTTCTTTTTTTTCAGATGCTGTTGTCATTGGAGTTCCGATCGTCTGTATTTTACTTCTTCTCACAGGTATTGCAGGCGTAATTGTTATATATAAAAAGGTTGTGAAATCAAAAGAAAACGGAAATGGACAGTTGGAAATACAACGTTAAAATTCTCGACGAAATATAACTCAAGCGATACAACACATTTGAATGTCTGCCCATGTAATATTTTATATTTATTATGTAATGGGCACCTTAGCATTTAAGAGTTTTATCAGTTTGGGTAATTCAGTCCAGTTGGATATAAGTAAAACAGTCATCCTTTAACTGCATTTGAATCAAATGTTAATCAACGCTTTTTCTTGATTTTGTTGTTGTTGTTTTTGTTGTTGTTGTTGTTGTTGTTGTTATTGTTTTTGTGTTTTTTGTTGTTGTTTTTTTGTTTTGTTTTTCTGTTATTTGGAGGAAGGGTGTGGGCCTAACAATTTAAAAAATATCTTTCAGAAGGGAAAAAATAGACTTTTTGACGAAAACATACATGACAATTTGTCGTGGATTTGTTGAATTCTGTAGATTGTAGAAACAATTTAAGGGTTGTTTAAATTTCATTTTGGTTCAAAGAAATATGTGTTTGCTTTAATTTATTTAATTTTGTGTAGCTTTATTGTTGTTTTATAATAGCGAATTATATATCAATTTAAGATTAAGCATGCCTCTTTTTGTTATCTCACGCATTGCATTGTTATCGATTTGGATATTAAGCACTGTTTTTTTTATCTTTATTAAAGATTTTATATATTTTAAGTAAATATAGTTGTAGTTTTTAGATATACTCATTTGAAGTCAGATAATCATTCCTGAGCGACCAAAATGACAAAAAGAATTTAAGTCACCACAAGCACAAGTATAAATAAATTAAACAGACATGATTGTACATTATAGAAAAGGTGATGACCTTTCTGAAAATATAGTTTTAAAACGTTTATCCAACATACATACATTATGTAATATCAAGAAAATTAAATGTAAACGTAATGATTAATTAGGCTAAGCAAGCCAGTTTACCACAAAAGTTTTCAAATACTGATATACGAGTAAGTAAATATTAATACTTTGTATTCTTTATAAAAAAAAGTCTGTTTGTACTTGCATTAGATGAAAAAGTGTCAGAAAAGAAAATGGTACAACAGTAAAGTCATTGACAGCTGTTATATACAGTGTCGTTAAATTGCACATGTTGTAGAAATTCAGAGTAAGAACTAAGTGTTGTGATCATTCATATGTACGTAAAGGCGGCTTCAAACATCACAAATAAAATAAGGTCAGCTGTAGTAGAAATTGTTTGATTGTCTGTTTGGCTTTCTTTCTGTTTTTACGCTGATTTTAACATTTTATGAGTCATATCTCGACGGTCAATACGCCTAACCGGCTACTCTAGAAAACTTAACCGACTTGTAACCCCGCGTGTTGCAGCGGTGACTGACTTATCATGAAACTCAAAGCCCAAGAATAATTGTTAGGGAGATATTTGACCTCGACCAAGGTTCGACCCAGTGATCCCAGGAATATTAATCCGATGTTTTCCCCCCTTTTGAACTAAGGCGGTCAACACAAAAGAAATTGTAGAACGGCGTGCAAACATGTGTATTTGTAAAATTATTTTGAAAAATGTATCTTATGAATGAAAATGTACCGAGTGAAATTATTTCGCATACAAAACCATGCATATGTAAACTTCCCGGGGACGAAATGCGCCTTTTAAGATTGTTTTTGATACGATCGCACTGCTACGCTAGTTTAATAGTACGTTTGAGTATATAAATATATCATTAGTAAAGTTGTAGAGTCGATGAGGAGGCCCGGGGGAGTGACCAATCAACGCGCCGAACACCTATTACTTCATGTGTGATTTTAGTGGGTGGGGTAAGTAATAGAAAAGAAAGAGCATCGAAACACGAGGCTATCTGATTTGTACGAGGGGTGGGGGGGCGTAACCCCCGAGTATAAATCAGACTGCAGAGTGTTTTTATGTTATTTCTCTTTTGTATCATAGTCAAACATAAAAACACGTTCCCTGTTGTCACAATATGAAACCCCAGTAAAACGTAACCAATGAACGAGCATCTGAATATGAAGTTTATGTCGCTTTCCATTTCTCTGCAGTCACAATAAATAAACCCAAACAAAAATGAGCCAATCAATGAGTATGCTCTGGAGTGCGGATAACCAATACATGCACTTCAGTTAACGCACTGTGCATGTATTTGTATACGATTTAACCCTGACACGCTTTCAACAGAAATGTCCCCAAACTATGATACAAACAAGTAAAAAATTGCTGGGAAATGCAGCAATATGATTGTCACGGCGAAAAACAAAAACAAAAAAAAAACCCAACCCCCACACAAAAAAAAACAACAAAAAAACAGTTAAATATATTGATAAGGTATCTCCAAATAGCATTGTTTTGAATTGGCATGTTAACTTGTTCAGAAGGTTTTAAAATATCATAATCATGTAACTTGTTACAAGAGCCATGTTTATATGTAGTAGAGCAGAATAATTATCATTCTTGTGTACTGCATACCTCTCGAGTGAATGTCTTGTGTGCTGCACTCCTCCTCAATGAGATCTATCCACCTAATAAGTTTCAAGTTGATACCTCTAACACCTTTTTGAGATTGTTGTTATTATTATTATTATTATTATTATATACCACATTTCTATAGCACTCTTTTCATAAATAATAAATGTTCAAGGGTGCTTTACATAAATCCGATAAAACATAATCATATATATATAAGACATAATGAACAACATTAATTAAGTAAACCTATTAAACAATAATGATAATCTAAAACCAGTAAAGGATGGTAAGAAATACAGACACATTTAGTTTAAAATCAAGGCTCAATTAATAATAATTGAGATAAGCTCCGGACAAAAAGTATGAAAAATAACAAATGGCAATAACTAACAAAATATAAAGGGTATTATTCTTGCGCACAACATTCCTCCCCAATAAGATTTATCCACCTATAAAGTTTCATGTTGACATTTCAAATACTTTTTCAGAGATATGCTCCACTCAGGTGAAAAATTTAGTATGGAAAATAACAAAGGGCAATAACTCAAAAATTATGAAGGGTAGAGTTATATTTTATCACTCTTTTGCACTGCATACCTCCTGAGAAAGATCCACCCACCTATGAAGTTTCATGTTGAAATCTCAAATGCTTTTGTAGTTATACCCTAGACAAAAATAAAGTATGAAAAATAACAAAGTGCAATAACTGAAAAATCAATGCACGGTATGTTATCATTTTAGTGTGCTGCAATGCTCCCCAATAAGATCTATCCACCTATGAAGTTTCAAGTTGTTACCTCTAACATTTTTTTAGATAAGCTCCGGACAAAAAGTTTGAAAAATATAAAATGGCAATAACTCAATCATTATAAAGGATAGAGTTATCATTCTTGCGCACAACATTCCTCCTCAAAAAGATCTATCCACCTATGAAGTTTCATGTTGACATTTCAAAGACTTTTTCAGAGATATGCTCCACTGAGGTGAAAAAATAAGTATGAAAAATAACAAAGGGCAATAACTAAAAATTATGAAGGGTAGAGTTATCACTCTTTTGCACTTCATATCTCCTGAGTGAGATCTGTCCACCTTTGAAGGTTCATGTAGATATCTCAAAGGCTTTTGTAGTTATACCCTGGACAAAATTAAGTATGAAAAATAACAAAGTGCAATAACTGAAAAATAATGCACGGTTAGTTATCATTCTAGTGTGCTGCACTTCTCATCAAAAAGAGCTATCCACCTATGAAGTTTCAAGTTGTTACCTCTACCACTTTTTTAGATATTCTCCGGACAAAAAGTAAGAAAATAACAAATGTCAATAACTCAAAAATTATAAAGGTTAGAGTTATCATTCTTTCGCACAACATTCATCCTCAAAAAGATCCATCTACCTATGAAGATTACATTGACATCTCAAAGTTTGTTTTTTTAGTTAATTTATGCTCCACTCAGGTGAAAAATTAAGTATGAAAAATAACAAAGAGCAATAACTCAAAATTTAGAAATGGTACAGTTATCACTCTTGCATTGCACACCTCCTGAGTGAGATCTATCCACATGAAGTTTCATGTTGATATCTCAAAGGCTTTTTCCTGTGGACAAAAATTGAGTTTGAAGAATAACAAAGGGCAACAATGAAATAAATATGCAGCGTAGAGTTATCATTCTTGTGCACTGCACTTTTCCTAAATATGATTTATCCACAAATGAAGTTTCAAGTTAATACCTCCACCTATGAAGTTTCAAATTGATACTTTTTGAGATATGCTCCGGACAAAAATGTAGAGTGACGGACGGAAGGACAGACGGACGGATGGAGACTAATTCTATATCCGTCTTTTCGGGGGGGGTAATAAACATTTTCTTGTTCATATCTAAAAGAAACTCAGAATTTGCTCACAATAACGTGAACATGAATTCTGAATGAAGTTTGATGTTGTGGTAAAAACTGATTTAATGACCAAATTAAGTTATTTTACAACATGGTATGGTGAATGTTAATTGTGAAACGCATATAGAAAAACCAAGTCTCATTTTAGAGAATTGCGCAAGAAAAATGAAATTATTAAACAAGAGGGCCTGAGTCGCTCACCAGAAACAACTGTTTTTCAGTGTTGGAAATTATTTTTCAAAAGAACTTGCTGAAAGGCAAGTCCAGCTCTTTCGGCAGTTCAGCTCGATCAACTTTAACTTGCCCCTTTAGTAATATACTTTCACAACACTGATTGTTTTAGCTTTTTTCTTCATAATAAACAATAGGACCACTAAGATGGCCCTAGATGACTCATCTAACCCATCATTTCATTATTCACTATAAAAAATTGTAATATTTTGCCCTAATATTTTGGAAAGGATTTGTTAAAATATGTATGTTGCAAGTGTGTTCCTATGAGACTATGTAGAATAAATGCAGAACATCTGACCACTAGAGCAGGATTAATTTTGATTGGGCAATATTTTTTAAAACTTTTTTTGAATGAAAACACAAAATGTCACATGCAAAACATGTAAGGTGTAGTTGTTTGAAGTTCACAGTTTGGTACAAATTTTTTTTATACATTCTGTATGGTAACATAACTGTACCTCAAAAAAAGACAATAGGTCAAACATTGTAAAAATATGAAAAGTAGGCCAGTTAATATCAAAATTCAATTCAGCATCAGAAATTACACCCCTAGTCCAAATTTCAAGTCTGTATGTCAAGAACACAAGAATGAAAGTCAAATTATATCAAAAATATCAAAAGTAGGTCAGTTGATATAAAAATTCATTTCGGCATCAGAATTTACAAACCTGGTCAACATTTAAAATCTGAATGTCAAAATACAAGACAGTAGGTCAAATGATGTCAGTAATACCTAAAGTAGGTCAGCTGGTATCAAAATTGAATTCAACATCAAAAATTACACAATTTACACCCATAGTCCAAATTTCAAGTCTGTACATAAAAGACAAAAAAAGTATGTAAAGCGATATCAAATATATCAAAAGTAAGCCAGTTCATATCAAAATTCAATTCAGAAACAGAAATTAAACCCCTTGTCCCTTGTTAATTCAACAACAAAAAATGAAAAAAATACAATTTTTTACAAAATTCAATAAGAGAATTGAGCAGATAAACTCATCTTTGATAGTAAAGTACAGGAGAAACAAATTTTATGTTTCTTTAGGCCTATTTTTTTCCTGGTTAATGACCTACAACTGACCTTACAATGATGCAGTAGTCCGAATTCGAGAGCTGAAATATATTAACACATCATAAACAGGTCATGACCCAAGCCAATGAAATTTATGAAATTCTTGCTGAAAATGTCTTATTTGGATAAAAGAATGAATATACTATGTACAGGAAACTGCATATGCTATTACAGGCAATGTAAAGATGGTCATTTCTATAAAAAAAAAGAAAAAAAATCATTATATTTATACTGTGACCACGAATAGTGTTAAGAGCTTAAAACATAACATATCTACTTTGTGTGAAGTCAAAACACGTATATTTCATATTTATATTTATAAGGAGACTGTGTATCCATTGTCAATATTTTTTTATATTAAAATGAGAGCTTAGAATATCTTTAAACTTTAATTTAAAGAAATGCTAGTGCATTTAAGCTTTAGCTTTAACAGGACCAATCAAACTAATATGAGCAAACTTGATTAAAGACTACCCAAGAATGCTACAGACAAAGTTTGGTGATCATCCATCAATTGGTTCTGTAGAAGAAAATGTCTAAAGCTTTCTATTTTGAGCCCTAGTGACCCCTAAAAGGGGCCAATCAAATTAATATGAGCAAACTTGATAAAAGACTACCTAAGGATGCTACAGACAAAGTTTGGTGATCATCCATCAATTAGTTCTGTAGAAGAAGACGTTTAAAGGTATTTCTATTTTTAGCTATAGCAGCCCCAACAAGGGGCCAATCAAATTAATATGAGCAAACTTGATAAAAGACTACCCAAGAATGCTGCAGACAAAGTTTGGTGATCATCCATCAATTGGTTCTGAAGAAGAAGATGTCTAAAGGTTTTTCTATTTTTAGCCCTAGTGCCAATCAAATTAATATGAGCAAACTTGATAAAAGACTACCTAAGGATGCTACAGACAAAGTTTGGTGATCATCCATCCATTAGTTCTGTAGTAGAAGATGTTTAAAGGTTTTTCTATTTTTAGCTCTGCTGAACCCTAAAAGGGGCCAATTGAAATGACATGAGCAAATTTAAGTGTGACTATCACAAGGATGCTACAGACCAAATTTTAGTTAAATCTGCCCAGCAGTTTCAGAGAAGAAGATGATTGTTGACACATGACGACGGACGACGGACGCCGGAGTATCCCCCTTTGATACTAATAGCTCACCCTGAGCCTTCGGCTCTGGTGAGCTAAAAAAATAAGACAATTTAAGTTCTTGATTGCAAATATAGAAACTTAGGAATGTAATGTTCAAAGACATTTTACACGTGAAAAAATTCACTCCGAGAGAGACATAGATCCGACATGAGAACACATTAGTCAAAATATGTCGTCCCTTCGTGTTTTCGCATTTTCGCATTTTGAGGCGAAGTCGCGAAAATATTTGGATGGCGTTAATCAGCCACCATACATAATCCATTCAAGGCGAATTTCTCAAGCATGTCGAAAGGATGTCCGGAAATGTGTTAATATAAAACGCTGATGTTTCGTTTGTTGATAAAAATACTGTTTAGATTCTATATGGTTTTGAAAAAAAAACTGTTTCTATGTAACTTTTCACGGAAATGGGCTGTACAATGATTACGTAAAAACAATAAAATGTCGGCTGTAGAAATCGAAAGGCATTTTGTCCCGTGACTTTTGCCCATGCTACCGAAAACTACCCATCACAATATCACGGCGTTGAGACGCCGTGAAATAATTATTGCTGTCAGTTTTTATTTTTAGGAGCATTGTATGAAACTGTCATTTTTCTCCAATGTATGTCATTAAATCCTTGAAGAATGCTGTGCATCTTGGTATCTGTCTGTGTAAAAAATGTAATATTTGGAATTGTGTTTTTGGCAAACTGAACTTCAAATTGCTAATTTTTTAGGTCATCTGCCCAATTTGTTTTGCAACTCAATAACTCTAGTATTTCTCTTGATGAAGCCAAAATTGATTGTTATCGCCCTTCACTTGATTTGGCTTATTTAGCAGACAGCGAAAATGTTTATTTTGATATCTGAAGTTATGATGCATTTATAAGTAGCATGTGTGTTGAAAAAATGCGACTGTGGGAAAAATACTCGAGTTTATGTTATCAGTTATAAAATTACCATGGCACGAACACTAAGAAGATAAAGTATCTTATTGATTTGATTGGGGCGTTGACTACGGTGTTAGAGGCGAACGTTGACTTTGTTGCATTCATCAATACAGAAGAATACGTCCATTTACTGACCCGATGGAGCAGTGTGGATAACTTTTGTTTCATACTTGTTATTATTGCTCTCGTAGAGACATTTTGTTTTGTCTGAATAAAGTTAAACACTAACGTAGATTTTTATTGTAAGTATTTATATAATTTTAATCTTTCATCTTTCTATTATCAATATTGCATTGTCATCTTTTTGCTTGTTACGACATACCCGTTTACAATTGGCTGATAAGAAATATAGGTAAGTAAGCAATCAGTGTACAATCGAATGCTCTGGATTATACTTCATAATTATTTTATTGTTATGATGCATTAAATTACTTACGTACACTAAGTTGCGCGACTGGTTCTTTATATCTTTGTAATTGAAGACTCAGTGAACTAATTTGCTTTTAGTACCGGTATTAATTTAATGTTTCTTTTGCATTTTGTATATATGGTATAGAAGATGAAAACTACACTTAAACTTAATGACTTTATTTTGATACAATGTTTACTTATGTATTACTTCATACAACAATATCACGTGGCATATGCTCGTTGTAGTTGGGGCTCGTGGTTGTCATGGAATTGCTCATGTTGTGGAAATTCCTACGATATTCAGGTATTCAGAGTTAGAGCTAAGTGTTGTAATCATACTCATGAATGTCCAGCAAGGAGAATGTCGTCTTCAGATATCTTGGATGAAAATAAATTTGAAGAAAAGAGCAGTTGTTTGAAGGATTGCGACAAGCTATTTTCTAACTACAATCCTCACACTTGTACTTCATCAAAGATGAGTCTAAACGAAATTAAAGAACAAAGCAAAATCAAATCATGTAAAGCCACATGCTTAGGTAAGATTCTCGGTCATGTTTGCACTACGATTTTGAAAATATTTTATATTCTTTATCATATCAAGAGTACACATGTTGTAAATATAATTATCTTTAAGATTTTTTAGTGTTAACAGCATTGTATGAAATTGAAGTCATATCGGCTATCATAATTGTTCTCAATATTGTGAGCAATAATTCTTCCTATTTTGTAGTATTGATTAAGAAAAATGTATATACAATACAAACATTGATACGTTGTTAAACATAGTTTACACGATGATCAATGATAGTATGATTTATATATATCCGTATTATGAATTATGACTCTATCACAAGAAATATTTCTATTAATTCATAACTTGAATTAAAGCATGTGTTGATTTAATAATTGCACTGGAATACGGAATTACGTACAGATCTGGTAATAAATGTACCGATGTACCTTATTCAAAAGTTTTTATTATAAATCTTCATTTTAATTCATTTATGTTAAAAAATATTCAGATGAATGTAAGCAAAGATACAGAGATAACTGACTGTGTTTTTAATTTATTTAGTTATTAGGGAAAGAGATGGTTAGTCACACAATAATACTCTTACTTTGCATCAGTCGGTGCTAGTAAGCCTGAATAGACCACTACCGTTCTCAAAAATGTCATTATATAATCTAGAGAATAATGACCAAAAAATCAGCATTATTTCAATGGATGCTGATTCATTTACCCTTTGTGTTATGATATACAGGCACACCATCAACAACAACAACAAGAAAAACAACAACAACAACAGCATTTGCTGCAAAACCAACAACCACCAAAGTAACTCGTGAAACTACTTTACACAACGTTACTTCTCAAACCACCCAAACATTTCGTGGAGGTGAGAACGATACTATTCCAACAAGGAATGTCCAACATAAAACGTCGATAACTTCCTCTTTGCAAACTAGCAGCTCAATCAAAGATACAACAATATTTCCAGGCGATGTTACAGTACACGTTTCAAAGAGGATGACATCGGCAAAGACGTCAGTCACATACCCTTCTTCTTCCAAGTTTCAATCTAGTTACACTGTCAGTTCTGAGATAAACACACAGTCAATTGGTATGTAGCTAGTTAACATATAAAGTTTATTTGGATGAAATTTATAAATAGAAGAATAATACTTTGCCTAATAATACATGTATATACCGGAGGAGTGCATGAGGTGCTTCTTTTACTGAATCCACACCACTTTTAAATTTCTTACACAGATAAAAAAGAAAGTTAGTTGTTCCCATAAACACGGCAAATTTCATATAATATGTCTTTCGCCTGTATACCAAGACTACATACAGCGGTTCTTGATACAGGACCGTATTTGGTCAGCGAAGGACCAACCATTTACATGTACATAGTTAGTGCAAAACTTAAAGCGAGATATTGACGTAGTTGCATTCATATCTGAACAGCTCTCGTAGTAAAGATAATAATCGATTTTCTCGTTTATTTACACATTTGTATGATGTGCAATCATGTTTGTTTAACTTATTTATACCTGTGCATGTAGTGACTAAAATTATTTTTTGCTTTTGTGGCAGGAATGAGTAGCTAAGTATATCTAAAAACTTATCAAGTACAAACTTCATTAATATTTCACGCGTTTCGATAGTAATAGCGTGAAATTATTGTCTATCGCGTTACGCATTCAAAAGGGTGAATACTGGTCAGTCGTGTTTAATGAATCGTGACTTAACTCAATATGTATATTGTAATGTGTAAAGACGGTCATTCTACCAGACGATTTCACAGAGACACGTTGTATAAATATTTTACACTTCCAATTTAGCACGTGGCGGCCGTTGCGACTCGGGATGGAAAAAAGCAGTATTTTATCTAGTTTAGAGTCTTTGTTTGATTCTAGACTGCAGACATTTGAGAAGAAAATAAACGAAATTTCACAAAATCAAATTTCGGCGTGTACTAGTGGTACTTATGTGTTCAAGAAGAAAGGCCACGAGCAACAGTTTATGGTGAACGCTAAAGTTAAGGATAAAATGAGACAAGCAGACGGTTATCTTGCTACCATTACTAAGGAAGATTCGAATTCGTCTGCTAGCAGTGCCAGAGAAAAAATTTCAGAAGGTATGGACATTTTGTCACATCGTCAAAAATGTTTAAAATTGGCCGACAGTTCAGAGCATGGTTGGCGTGTCGTACAAGAGTACGAGTCTCATCCATTGGCGGAAAACTCCGACGATGAGAAGAAAATCTACAAGGCACAGATTCAAGCAGATAGGAAGGTTCGTCAGGAACGTCGAGTACGAGCTAGACGCTTTTCACCGTACCCTGCTACTAAAGCGTCGCCAGCTTCAGATAGTCGTCCTCCGAATCAACAGACAGCAAACAGGAAACCAGGGCTATGCTTCAAGTGTGGGAAACCCGGGCATTGGCGGGCAGAGTGCCGCATGGACTTGCAGGCTGATAAGAATGGCAATACACAGATAAGTATAAATTATGGTTCATTTTTGTTAAATGGAGTTGAGGAGTCTGATAACTTTAATATTGAGAAAATGAAGTTAAGCTATAAATGCTCTAATGATTTGATAAAGAATGTTTCACATATGTCTGACAATGATAAGATTTTAGATAAAGTAGTGTCTCCGGTTGGGAGATTGCATAATTGCATTAAGCACTGGCAAGAGGCGGAGCCAGGTGAATATATTTTAAGTGTAGTTTCAGAAGGATATAAGTTGCCTTTTAAAAACATTACCAAAATCTGTTGAACTTACAAATAATAGGTCTCTGCCAGAGAAAATGCTGCATTTGTTTCGAGTGAGATTCGAACCCTTCTCACTAAAGGTTGTATAGAAGAAGTTACAGAGGCACCTTTTGTGGTAAACCCGTTAACTGTTGCTTATAATAGGCATGGTAAACCGAGGTTAGTCTTAGACTGCCGACATATTAATCCAGATTTATGCAAGTACAAATTTTGTTATGAAAAGTCATGACTTGGCGAGACAAGTCTTTTCAAAAGGTGATTTTCTGTATACGTTTGATATTAAAGGGGCGTATCATCATATTATGATATTTCCCCAACATGCAGCTTATTTAGGTTTCTCATGGACAGAATTGGGAAAGAAGAGATATTTTGTGTTTCGGGTTTTGCCGTTCGGTATATCTACCGCCGGATATATATTTACTAAGGTATTACGGGTAGTAATCAAGAAATGGAGAAATTTGGGGATGAAAATCATTTTGTTTTTAGATGATGGTTTAGGTGGTGCTAGCTCTCTTGAGATGGCCAGGGAAAACAGTATTTTTGCTAAAAAAGATTTGTTTAGTTTCGGTTTTCTGTTAGCCGAAGATAAGTGTCAGTGGGAGCCGATTCAGCAAACTATTTGGGTAGGCTATCTTTGGAATACATGTGAGGGTGTGCTGAAAGTAACGCAAGAAAGAATAGATCGGACTGAATCATTATTACATAGAGGATATTGAATGAGTGTAGTTTAATACTAAATTTATTGAACGAGTTGAATAAAATCATATTATGCGAGCCTCTGGCGAGCATAATATTGTTTTATTCAACGAGTTCAATAAATTTAGTATTGAATCTACACGAATATAATATTCTATTTATCACATATATATAATAAAAACACTAAACTGTTAAAATGAGTACTTTTTCAATGACGCGCCCACAGTGTAACGCTAACATTAGCGCGCTTTTAACGCTATGTTTCTATATAGCGCAAATGACGTCACGTCAAAGTGTTATTACACTAGTGTAATATCGTTTTTATTAAATGGCTTTATTACACTCCTGCGCCTCGGTTTATGTGATAAAGTTTTTTATTACTTCTGTATGCAAGGGCGTAGTTTTGTTTTCGGTCAAAAAGGTAGCATGTTTAACGGGTCAGTTGATATCGATGATGAGTGTTTTTGGTTCGGTAGTAAGACTCAGAACCCGATATTTATATGAATGTGTAAATAGCAGAGCAAGCTGGAATGCTCCAGTCAAAATAAGCAGTGGTGCATTTGATGAGCTTATTTATTGGCGTGAACATATTAGAAATTTGAACAAGGGTTCGTTATTTTCTGAAATAGGTGATACGGCATACGTCTTTGTTGACGCCAGTGGAGCTGGAAGTTGTAATTATGCAAACGTCTTTGTTGACGCAAGTAATGTAGGTTTTGGGGGTTACATACAGGGTGTTGCAGACAGCGATGTAATCGGTTCTTGGTTAGAATCCGAGAGCATTTTGAGCTCCACCTGGCGTGAGCTCGAGTCTGTATATAGGGTAGTACACTCAAATTTACCTTATCTCCATGGTAGAGAAGTGTTGATAAACACAGATAATAAAAATGTGTGTAGTGTGTTGCAAAATGGTAGTAGCAAACCACAATTGCAAGAGATAGCATTAAAGGTAGATAAATTGTGTGATGACAAACAAATTAATTTACATTCTCGTTGGTTACCAAGAAAAAATAATGTTGAAGCTGATTTTCTGAGCAGATGTTCGGACAGTGATGATTGGTCAGTTGTTGACTGGATTTTCAAAGTATTAGATGACAAATGGGGAAAGCATACCTTTGACCGTTTTGCGTGTCATTACAACACTAAATGTAAATGCTTTAATTCAAGATACTGGTGTCCGGGTACAGCAGGTATAGATGCTTTTGAGCAACTTTGGGTCGGTGAGAACAATTGGTTTGTTCCACCGCCAAGATTAATAGTAAGGTGCGTCAATAAAATTAATAGCGACAAATGTAGTGGTACTTTAGTGGTGCCATGTTGGCATTCGGCACTATTTTGGCCATGTCTTTTTTCCAGCAGGGAAACCAGCAAGCTTTATCAAAGATGTATTTATGTTTCAGCCTGGAGTTCTTACGAAGCGTGGTTTTGGCAGAAACGGCGTTTTTGATGGGAGGCCGTTGAATTTTAGATTAATAGCTATAAGATTTTGATATGTATAGGTGTGTTATATTTTGTGTGTGTTTTCCTTCAGGTTTAAAACTTGAGACGGTGCATTGAAGATGAGGTACAGAAATCAGGCGTTTCAGACAGTTCTTTTAAAGATACCGCTGGGAAGATGGCTGATTATCTTGTTAGCTCTAAAAGCGACAGTACAGTGAAAAAGTATTATTTTTTATTTTCTGAAATGGGAAAAATATATTAAATCAAAGGGAGGCAACAGTGTTCCAGCTTCGCCAATTCTAATAGCTATGTACTTAACTGAGTTAATAGACAAAAAGTGTTCTTATGCCATGGTTTCATCTACGGTCTACGGAATAAAATGGGCTCATTCACTCCGTAATCTACCAGATCCTACGGACAACTTGTTTATAAAAAACTTGTTAGAAACGTCTAAGCGTCTGTATTTCTAAACCGGTCAACAAAAAAGAACCAGTTTCTGCAGAAATGATTACTGAACTTTGTGCAAAGTATGCAAACAGTATTGACATTTTCGTAGTACGTGATTTATGTATGATTTTATTGGGATATGTTGCATTTTTATGGTTTTGATGAGATAAGAAATCTCCGTTGTAATGATATTACTTTTCATGACAATTATTTTTCTTTGAAAATTAACAAAAGCAAGACTGATCAGTATCGTTTTGGCTCAGAAATTGTTATTGCAAAGGGGGTTTCCGAAGCATGTCCATACGTAATGCTACAACGGTATTTAAGAATTTCAAATCAAAGTATAAAGCAGTCCTAAAATTTTATTTCGTCCTGGTATACGGTCAAAAGGTAATGGTTGTTTGATTTATAAAGACAAATGTTTGAGTTACACTCGAGCAAGGGAAACTTTGTTGCACAGGTTGAGAGAGGTAGCAGGGAGATTTGAACTTGGGATTGCATTCCTTACGGTCTGGTGGTGTAACTGCTGCTGCTAATGCAGGTGTGAATGATCGGTGTTTGAAACGACACGGTCGTTGGAAGGGTGACAGTAGTAAAGATGGCTATATTGCCGATTCTTTAGACAGGAGATTAGAAAGTATCTAAGCTTTTAGGATTATAATACTTTTTGTTGTTGTTTTACAATCCGATACAACGCCAGCCCCTTCTTTTTGATTTTCTAAACGTTCGTCTGGCCTTGCATATGGTGTTGTGTTGTTATTTTAGTTTAGCAAAGACTTAATATTTCACGCGTTTCGATAGTAATAGCGTGAAATTATTGTCTATCGCGTTACGCATTCAAAAGGGTGAATACTGGTCAGTCGTGTTTAATGAATCGTGACTTAACTCAATATGTATATTGTAATGTGTAAAGAGGGTCATTCTACCAGACGATTTCACAGAGACACGTTGTATAAATCTAAAAAAAAAAAAAAGTCTTTAATGTAAACATTTTTAAGTAATTCATATATTTGATTTTGTAATGAAAACATACGTCGTCGCAAGATGAGGTCCAACATTAGCGAACCGACACTTGACAAATGGACACAGGTTTCCACACGATGGTTTTTCCTGGGCGAGTCGGGTCGCACTGCGAGCCAATTTAATGTAGCATTATCCGATTTCGGCAAAGACGTATGTTGTAAGATAATGAAGGCAATTTTTTAGGCAAATGTTGTCATTTTAAGTGTTTTTAATCGTTGTATAATGTACTAGAATAATCGCATTTTTCTTTTAATAAGAAATTTTGCAATGACTAAGATTTGTTATGTTTGTATGTGCAGATTTGTTAGGTTTATTGGAAATATTTTTGCGTAAATCTGTTTGCATGAATGAAATAAAATATAAGCATTTGTAATTCTGAAATGTTTTAAAGAATATTTTAAAGCTTGAATGAAAATCCTTGATACAAAACAATAATTCATGTTGTAACAAACTACTTTCGGCTGCCATCTCGTAATAAACGTTCGTCTGGCCTTGCATATGGTGTTGTGTTGTTATTTTAGTTTAGCAAAGACTTAAAGATTAAAAACACAATACTTAATATCTAAATAAATAGAAATACAATGCGTGCGATAACAAAAAAAAAACATTTCTTAAACAAATAAAGAAAATATATTCACTATTATTAAACAACATTGTCTAAGTCTCTAAAAATGTAAATCAATCATCCGTATAGGCATTTGACACAAAAAAGAAACTGTTTAACTTGAAAGCTTCTAAAATACATATGTAAGTTTTTTTCCACATTATCTTCTAAATTATACAATTCCACGGCTAACGGTTATGTATGGTCTTTTGTGAAATAGCCATTTGCTACAAAAAGATTTAAACAAGATTTTAAAAATCTTAGCCCCACCCATTCTCCCCAAAATAAACAACAAACAAACAAGAAATAGGAAAAGTTCTGATTAACGTTTGATTCATATTCTGTTAAAGGATGACAGTTTTAACATCTACTTTGGAAAAAATACCAAATCCTGTAAAAACCAACATGTAAACATTGCATAATAAATACATAAATATAGAGTATTATATAGGAGGACTTTCATAAGAAGTGTTTTATTGCTTTAGTTTTATTGCTAATGTTGCGTTCCTTCCGAGCCAAGTCTGTTTTATTTTAGTTTTACAAGCTTTTTATATATAACAATTCCACTTCCAATAACTGCAAGAGGAAGTAAAAAACAGTTGACCAAAACTCCGCCGTCAACTCACACAACGAAACGAAAAAGAACGACATTAAACTATATCTTTGTCTAGAAAAAGCTTGTACCAAACAACAGATTCATATTAAGTAAACATTGTATGGTAATTTCTGAGTCTTAATTCTTGTAATGCAAAAATATAACAAATGCTTAACACATTATGTTAATACGTTAATAAGATAAGGTCTGCTGTATTATTATAAGAAATTGTTGTTTTTTTTGTTTTGCTCTGTTTGTTTTATTTTTGTGCAAACCTCTAATAAAAATAAGCATTTCTTTATTTCATAGCTATATTATTTCATTTTTACTTACAGGTTGGATAATTGGTGGAGTGATATGTCTCGTTGTTATGGCAATTTGTATTGGTATGATCGGGCAAAATATAAAGCAAACTAGAGAAAGACAACGATCTGAACATCATGAACAAGATTTCTATAAATTATAGTATTAATGTGATAAAGAAATTGAATTTTAACCAAACATGATTGTTTCAGTGATCAATTGGAATTAAAGAATAGACATGACCTGAAGTACCACGGTAGGACAAACGTTTACACTATGTTTAAATTTTCAGAACAAAATCTTTATCTAAGGAACATATCACGTGTAGTTTTGAACAGTCATTTCTATTCTTGTATGCTTTCTTTCTTTCCAGAAATATACATATTGAATATATCATTTCTCTAGCGTCTTATTCCTTTGTATGATTTCGGTTTTCCACGTTTCAGATGACTTCATTCATTGGCGATTCACAAAGGCGATAGCCCTAGGGGAGGGAGCTCCTTAACTTTAACACATTTTCATCAACATATAGAAATAATTTTAACTATGTTTTTCAATTGGATTAAAACATGAAGTAATGATAATAGTTTTCTCAACTTTATTGATGTGTAAAAATTATAACGTATTATGTACTGAAAATGAAATGTATAACACTGATTAGGTCCTTAAGACAAATTCAACTTATATTTACCTATATTTGTGAATAAAAGGAAGGTTATTTAGCAATAATTACACAGATATGCTTTTCCCCCGAGTTATGTTTTCATAGTTTTATACAGTAAACAAAATATCAACATAAAGAAGTGACCTGCATGTATTATCAACAAAATGAGTTAGTGTTTTGAAATAATAAGTATTTGTAATTCCATTCAAGTACTTGTACATGTAGTTCAATCATCAACTTCTTAAGATGTTAACTTAGAATAGATTGGACATGGTTTAAATTAAAAACAAAATATATAAATACTTCTTTGTCTTCATTTTCAACATTATACATGTATACTGTTTTTTAATAAAAATACAGTAAATCTTTTACAATTACAAGGAAAACTAGTACATTCACTGGATTAAACAACCAAACACTTTGCAATACATGTAGATCTTTACTTTAACTCGTCAAAAAGAAATCAAATTTTAAGTATATTACTCGTATTACCGTTTACCAGTGTCCACTTTCTGAAAAATATCAAGTCAACTGATAATGTTTGCAATCTAGTAACATGTTATCGTCAAGTTCTACTTGGTGATTTTGTCAATGTAAGATGTTCACTTCTTACGATTAAAGAATACAACAACCTGGTGCATGGAAGCATTTATCAGTTTACGTGATGGTTCTTTATCAGTTCGAAATATATCACCATGTCCGTCACCGAACAATACACATTCACGTACAATTGAGAAGACAAATGAAAGTGCAAAGGTACTGAAAGACTCTTTGTTCTATTTTTTTATAGTATAACATCTCTGGGTGTTACTCAAGTTTAAAGTATGATTACCAAACTTTTTATACAATACATATTTAACATTTAACATATAAAAGAAGCGCGGATTTACTGTGGAACTAGACAATTCATCAGAACAATAAACTGTATACGAATAATGAGCAGTCTAATTTGTTTACAGAGTTAAACAAATGAGAAAAAAAATATTGGTGTAGGTAGCATGGAACATGGGATATGTGTGTTGTTGTATTAATTCACTTATGTACCTTTTAATGACTATTTGATCTCAATCAAAATCTTACGTATATAAATGTGTATCATGTATCAGTTATTTGCTATGAGCTATATCGATTGAAAAAAGTCTCAACCTAGATCGAACTCCTGAATTTTGACGCTGAAGAAAAACAACAGTTTTTGTTTCTGTTCCAATATCCAATGTCAGTCTTCTTGTTGGTCACATGTAAACTCTTAATGGTCAAAGTCAGTTTACTGGTTCAGTGTCAATCTGGCTGGAACAAGGTCAGTCTTACTGGTCTAGGGTCTAATGTCAGTCTAATTGTTGAATGACAATATTAATAGTCAAATGTAAATCGTAATGTTCTTATATCAGTATTTTGGGTTCAATCTTACATGTCAAATGTCAAACTTATTGGCCTAATGTGAGTCTAGTTGGTCCATGATGACATGTCAATAGTCCAATGTCAATCTTATTGGTCTAATGTCAGACTTATTGGTCTTAATAGACCAATGTAAATATTACTGGTATAAATCTAATTCATTCCCGTTGGTCGAATGTAAAACTTGCCAGTCACTTATGACAATATTTCTGGTCCAATATCAAGCCTACTGGTTCAGTATAAATCTTGCTGTTTCAAATTCAATCTTACTGGTTCAGTGTCAGTCTTACTGGTGTATTGTTCCTACCGATACAATATCAATATAACAGAACTAAAACCAATCTGACTAGCCCAACAGCAATATAAAATTCAAGTACAAATGAAAGAACATGTTTACAAGCAAATGTTCTTTTCTTTCTTTTCTTTATGTTTAAACAGTATCAAATATTCATCAACTTCATCATTAGCTTTGTAATTTTCGTATTCATTCTATTTGCACACGTACATGAAACTTTTTTTCTATTTATTACTTATTCTCACACAGAAACAATATATTTCATGTCATTTATCTCTCTATTTTAACCATGATAACAAATTTAGAAATCTTCTTCATGGAGTTCAAGCAGATTAATATTCGATTAGAAATATTTGTAAATATACGTATTGACAATATTCCTGATAAGAGTGACATGCCGGATGATATAAGACTCTCACAGAAATTTATTTGTTTTACATTATATAACAATTAACAGTTTATTGTGACAAATCATGATCTAAGATAGGTTTAGGATTAAACTTGGATAGTGTTTCATGCTGTAAATTATATTAAACGAAACATTGCATTATATGTTACTTATCTGCATAGGATTAGGATATTAAGTTGAAATGAAAACTACAAGACGTAATCTAATTGAGATTATGTGGTTACAATGTTTACTTTATCTGTTAATGCAACAGAATCACGGGACAAAAGCTGGTTGTACTTAGGGCTCTTGGTTGCCATGGAATTGCTCATGTTGTGGAAATTCTAATAGCATACCTGTTTATAGAGTTAGAGCTAAGTGTTGTGATAATACGTATGAATGTGTAAAGGTAAGATATGCGGCTTTAAACATCACGGATGTAAATGAATTTGAAGAAAAAGGGAAATGTTTTAATGATTGTGGAAAGCTATTTTCTGGCCACAATCCTCACACTTGTGTTTCGTCAAAGATGAATCTAGATGAACTAACAGGACCAAGCAAAACTAAATCGTGTAATTTCGCGTGTGTAGGTAAGTTCACAAGTTTCAATACTCTTGCTATATTTTAGGGAAATATTTTGACGCTTTTGTATAGTGTTTATAATTTTGTTAAACATTAAGTTTTGAAACTTACACCTTGAAATGGATAACAATTATATTTTATTAATACAATTGATAAATTGGAAACTTTAAAAGTCCCTAGAGACAGCTAAAAGTGAAACTGTTTCAGGTTCGGTTTAACTGAGCGTGTTCTTGGAAGGCATTGGTAAATCTAAATATTTGACACACTCGTAGCATCGTTGATATTAGAAAAGTCATGTTTAAAATTAAGAAGATATTCTTTTACTTCAAAAGGCTCAAAAATAATTATTGCTAATTTTCTAAAAGTAAATTCGTCACAAAATTACATACTGTTAAAAATATTATCCAAATATGTTTTTAAAAAGAACAATTATATGCTGCTCCCAAGTAAAAAGAAATGAAATTCATTTTCAAGATTTTTTCATTCAGACCGAATGCCTGTATGTTTCCAATTTGACTTCCTGTAAAATTTACAGGAAAGAACTGCATGTTAGAAAAGTTTTCATTGGTCATTTTACAATTACAAAATGAAACCAACATTAATTATGAAATGTTGCAATTCAGTTAAGTATTTAGTCAATATACAGATTTTAGTTTTATTTTTTTAATGAACGCTTTGTTTTCCCTTGTGTGTGCACAAGGATGGGAATATAAATGTTCTCTAGTGCATAATTTTGAAAAGTGAAAATGTTTTCAGGAGTTTTGTCATCAACAACACCAGTGACAACACCAACATCGCCTACAACTCCGTCAGTTACTAACAGAACGTCAACAACGACTCATTCACCACCTTCACGAGCCAGCAGCCAAACTCTGACAACTATTAAATCAACAAATTGTAAGTAAAATGAATTTTGAAGTTATGTTTCTCATAATCATCATATTAGTATTCAAAAGTTACTGCCTACTGCTCATGTACATGTATTTTTATTTGCGACAAGAAATTGTATAATTATATGCTATTTCTGTTTTGTAGAGACGTTCTGACGTTAAGTATAGGACAGGGACAAATTTAGGGCACCCGACAATGTTATTATTATTATAATTATTATAATTATTATTATTATTAATATTATTATTATTTCAATTCCATATGGCATATATATTCATTTTGATTTAAATCTTAATATGAATCTTTCTTAAGAGAAACGGTTTAAAACCATTTCAGATCTGTCTAATATATATAAAATACAATTAACGGTTAAGTAGAGTTAATCTAAACTGGTTAAGCAATGTATACTTAATATGAATCTGTTGTTTTGCTTTTTTCCAGACAAATACTCGTATATAGTTAAGTGTCGTGCTTTTTTCAGATGCTGTTGTTATTGGAGTTCCGATCGGCTGTTTTTTATTTCTTCTCGCAGTTATTGGAAGTGGAATTTGTACATATAAAATGTTAAAGAAATCAAGATAGACGGAGTTGGGTAATTGGCAATACAACGTCAGAAATAAAACTCAAGCAAAACAACACATCTGAATGTCTGCCAATATAACATTCTATAGTTATGTATTTATTATATAATGGCCACGTTTACATGTTAGTTTTTTAACCAGTTTGGATAGTTGAGTCCAATCGGATATGAGAAAAACAGTCATCCTTTAACGGAAAATGAATCACATATCAATCGCGGCTTTTCTTGATTTTGTTGTTGTTCTTTTTGTTGTTGTTGTTTTTTGTTGTTTTTGTTTTGGGTTTTCTTTCTATTTTTCTGCTTTTTATTTGAAGTTGTTTGGAAGAAGGGGATGTGCCTAAGATTAAAAAAATGTCTTTCAGAAGGCAAACAATAGACTATTTGACGAAAACATACATGACCATTGGTCGTGGATTTGTAGAATTCTGTAGACTGTAGAAACAATTTAATTAGAGTGGTTTAAATTTCATTTTGGGTCAAAGAAATATGTGTTTGCTTTAAATATTTAATTGTGTGTAGATTTATTGTTGTTTTATAATAGCGAATGATATCTATTTATTTAAAAATCCTGTAACACATTTTTTAGATCATTAATATGATGGTCGAATTAAGATTTATCAATATTGCAGGTTCCAAAAAAGCATTATTTATAAAGATATTACAGAAGTTAACATTTCATGTAAATAAAGGGAAGAAATAAAAATAATTATTTTCTATGAAATTCAAGTCAAATTTTACAATAAGAAATGAACGCATATATTTGAATGATTACATATAATATCCACAAATATTTGCAGTACATATTTTACATATTCTTTGATGTTTGAAAAATGTTTTATTTGCATAATTATGTACATATATATAATTTCACTTAGTGTGGTAAACCACTTTGATCACAACATACAAGATCTTTAAGATTAAGCATGTCTATTTTTATTATCTCACGCATTGCATTGTTATTGATTTAGACATTAAACACTGTGTTTTTAATCTATATTAAAGTTTTTAGTTATAAAATTGCACTTTTAAGATATACTCAGTCGAAGTAAGATATTCATTACAGACCAACCAAAATGACAAAAAGAATTTTAAGTCATCATATGCATGGAAATAAATAAACTAAACAAATATGATTGCACATTATTGAAAAAGGTGATGACCTTTCTGAAAATATAGTTTTAAAACGTTCATTAAACGCACATACATTATGTAATACCAAGAAAAATAAATGTAAACGTAATTATTAAGGGTAGGCGAAGCAAGCCAGTTAACTCCTAAGTAAATATGTTTTCAAATACTGCAATATTGTACATTTAAAGTAAGTAAAATATGAAATGTGTGTTTAAGTTCTTAGTCAAAACATCTGTTGTACAGTGTACTTGCATTAGATGAAAAAGTGTAAGAAAAGAAAATGGCAGAAGAGGTGGAGTCATTCACGGCTGTTTAATCGATGTAGTTAAGATATTTGTTTGTCGTGGCATCGCACGTGCTGTGGAAATTCGTATAACATTCAAGTTTTCAGAGTTAGAAATAAGTGTTGCGATCATGCAGATGTACGTACAGGCGACTTCATACATCACAGATTAAAATAAGCTCAGCTGTAGTAGAAATTGTTTGATTGTTTGTTTGGTTTTCTTTCGTTTTGTTTTTTACGCTGATTTTAACACTTTTTGGGGGGCCATATCTCGACGGTCGATACGCCTAAACGGCTTTTCTAGATAACTAACCAGAAACAATGCGACCGACTTTTACTCCCACATGGTATCCGAATCAACAGTGATTTACAAATAACCGTCAGACTCAAAACCCGAGAATAATTGTTAGGGAGAAATTTGACCTTGCCTTAGGGACCAGTTATCCCTGCAATACTAATCCGATACTTTCCCCCCTTGAACTAGGGTGGTGGACACAAGAAATTGTAGAACGATACGATGCATGTATTTTATTATTATTTTTATTATTATTATTATTATTGATTTATTTTTATTTTTTTTGTTTGCATTATTTTTAAAAATGAATCTTATCAATGTGTATGTAGCGAGTAAAATTATTTCGTGTACAAAATCATTTTAATGCAGTTTCTCGGCGATGAAAATTAATGTAAAAATTCGCTTTAAAAATGTTTTAGAAAAGATTGCACTGCTACGCTAGTTTTATTGTACGTATGATTATATTAATATATCATTAGTCTGTATTTTAATACTTTATTTGATTTGAAACACAAATAGAATAATAAAAGGAAAGCATTTTTGGGCTATTTTTCTTTTGTTTTTTTTTTCTTTTTCTTTTTTGAATGATTTTGAAATTTCAAAAATGTGTAAGATGATGTAAGTACAACCATATCAGTCACAGCACCATCATAATCATTATCATCGTCATGAAATATTCCAGCATCTTTATCCTCTTCACTAGTCAGCATCACCAATCTGAAGAATAACAAATCAGCTATATGCAGTATTTGTAAAAATTTCGTCATCTGTTGTGGAAAATATTGTCCAAAATCGTATGAACTATGACAAAAATGAATTTACGAAATTCGGTTTCTTCTACATTAATCAGTTTCTCTTCCATGTTCATTATATTTAATATGTCACAGATATAACGACGTAACCTAATCAGAGGATGACAAAAAACAAACTGTCATTGTAATTATTTGTTTGGGTGTAAGAAATTAACAGTAGTTTTGGTATTTACCCGACACTAAACAGTGTGGTAGCCATGTATGTATGTGTTATTATTACAATTATTATTATTATTATTATTATTATTATTATTATTATTATTATTATTATTATTATTATATACCAAACTTCTTAAGCACTTTTTTCATGCACATTGACATGTTCAAAAGTACTGTACAGTATAACCAATACAATATTTAAAAAACAAATTAAAACATCAATATTGCTCAAGTCACAAATTCAAATCAAATGTAGTTTAAAAAGTTAAAAAAGACCCACATAAATAATAAAATACAGGTAAGACTTAAGAATTGGTAAAAAAATAGCGAACCTAAAAATAATCAGTCCAAATAAAACCTCTTAAATAAGTGAGTTTTAAGTGCTCTCTCAAATACTGTTAGAGTTTCACAGCTTTTAAGTGTTCCAGGTAGGGCATTCCAGATTTGTGACTCCCCACATGGTGGTTAAAGTTGAAAATTAAGCATTGGTGTCAAGAAACCTTGAAATAATTTTGTGAAAAATATAAACGTATGCCTGACATTAGGGCATTTTTGAAATTGCAATTGATTTCACTGTGTGTAAGTGATAATTTTAAAGGATTCGATCGAATTCTTGAGTATCATGATGACCCATATTATCATATTTCATGCATAGGTGTTCAGCGCGTTAATTGGTCACTACCCCCTTGCCCCCTCTTGGTATATGCTTTTTATTCAATTTTCTTCATTTCCCCCCCCCCCAAAAAAAAATATATATTTAGTATATGTATGCAACTGGCCGCTCATTTGTCAGCAATCATCTTAAAATGAACTCCATAACTCCAACATTTTTTTCACCAATTCTCAAAATCTTGGTACCAAATGGTAGGGAATTGATTACTTTTAAAGGAAATAAAGCTGTCTTTACAATCATTTCAAGTTATAAGGAGATATCTAATCACGAAGTTACCGCAAGTGTAATTCGACAGAGACCTGACCGACTAAACGACAGTTTATTCGAAATGAATGGATATTTCTGTCGAATTCTCAATTCAAAATGAATGTATAAACGGGTGCATTCTTATGAAGTATTTTCATTGGTCATCTGAAAACCTTAGACTAATGAAAATACTCCGTACAAAAAATAAAGGGGAGATCACTCTGCAGAACCATTATTTGCATTACGACATCGGAAAAACTGTTACTGTTAACGCACCGAACACCTTTGATTTCATGTGTGATTTTAGTGGGTGTGGTAAGTTATAGAAAGAGCATCAAAACACGAGGCTATCTGATTTGTACGAGGGGGTGTAGCCCCCTAGTATAAATCAGACTGTCGAATGTTTTGATGTTCTTTCTCTTTTGTATCAAAGTCAAACATAAAAACACGTTCCCTGTTGTCACATTATAAAACCCGAACAATAAGTTACCAATGAACGAGCATCCGAATATGAAATTTATGTCGCTTTCTTTGCAGCCGCAATTAGTAAACCCCATCAAAAATGAGCCAATCAATTGGCATGCTCTTGAGTGAGGGTAACTTCTACCTGCACTTCAGTTAACGCACTGTGCATGTATATGTATACGATTTAACTCTGACACGTTTTCAACAGAAAGGTCCCCAAACTATGATACAAATAATAATTGCTTTTTAGGAGACATGTATGCAAACTGTCATTTTTTCTTCAATGTTTGTCATTATATCCTTGACGAATTCCTGTGTAAAAAATTGTAATATTTGGCAAACTGAACTCCAAATTGCTCTTTTTTAGGTAATCTGCCCCCTTGGTTTCGCAACTTTTTTTGATCAATAAATCTAGAAATTCTCTTGATGAAGCCAATATTGATTGTTCTCCCCTTAACTTGATTTGGCTTATTTAGCAGACAGCTAAAAGTACATTTTGATGTCTTAAGTTATAAGGCATTTATAAGTAGCACGTGTATTGAAAATGCGACTATGGGAAAAATGCTCGAGTTAATGTTATCAGTTATAAAATTACTTTGTCACGAACACTAAGAAGATAAAGTATCTTATTAATTTGGTTGTGGCGTTGACTACGATGTTAGATGCTACGTTGACTTTGTTACATTCATCGATGCAGAAGAATACGTCCATTTAATGATCCTATCGAGCAGTGCGAATGTTTTTATGTTTCATATTTGTAATTTTCGATCACGTAGAGAAATTTTGTTTTGCCTGAATAAGTTGAACACAAACGTTGATTGTCCACTGTTAGTATTTACATAACTTAAATTTTTAATCTTTCTTTTATCAATATTGTATTATCATCTTTTGCTTGTTCCGACATACCCGTTTACAATTGGCTGATAAGAAATAAAGGTAAGTATGCAATTAGTATACAATCGAACGCTCAGGATTATGGTTTATATTTATTTTGTTATAATGCATTAAATTACTTAATATGTACACTTAGCTCCGCGAATGCTTTTTTGTATCTTTACAATGTAATGTAAGTCGCAGTGAATCAATTTGCTTTTACTTTAATCAGATGTTACTTTTTGCATTTTGTATGCATTGTGATAGAAGATGAAAACTACACTTAAACTTCATGAATTTATTTTGATACACTGTATACTGTATCACTTCATACAACAATATCACCTGACAGATGCCCGCTGTAGCTGGGGCTCCTGGTTGCCATGGAATTGCTCGTGTTGTGGAGGTTCAGTTGAGAACGATGTTTATAGAATTAGAGCTAAGTGTTGTGATAATACTTCCGAATGCGTAAACGTTAGAATTGCGGCTGCAATCATTACAGATAAAAGTGAATTTGAAAACAAAGGCAGCTGTTCGAATGATTGCCCAACATTATTTTCTCAACACAATTCTAACCATTGTACTTCATCAAAGATAACTCTAGATGATGTTACCGAACAGAACAGAATCAAATCATGTAATTATGCATGCATAGGTAAGTTTCTCCGCTATATTTTTTAACGATTTATAAAAAAATTGATATTGTTTATTATGTCTGTAAATATATAATGATTGTTTAAAATTATTTAGTGTTAAGCTTCATCGTAGTATGAAATGGACAGTCATATTGACTATTTCTGTTCTCATTATTATGCACATTAACTCTTCCTATATTGTAGTATTGATTAAGACAAATATATTTACAATACAAAACTGATATATTGTAAAACATGATTCACACGATGATTAGAGTTAGTAAGATGGATTGATATCCAAAATATGAATATGACTTTATCACAAATATATATAACAAATGTTTCTATCAATTAATAACTGGAATACGAGCATGTGCTTATGAAATTGTTGCCTAGCATACGGTATTACAAAACTATTCATAAATGCACCAATGTATCAAATTCAAAATTTAACGGTTGTATTTTTATCAATTTTTGTTATTATGAAAAGTATTCAGATGAATGTCAACTGATGTATTGAGATAGTTAACTGGGATATAATCAATTTCGTCAATAGAGACAGAGATGTCAAGTTTTACACACTTATATCTGACTGTATTCATGATACGCTGAATTCTACTTGAGTCGGTGCAAACGGGCGACAATTGATTACTATTGTTCTTAAAGATCTTATTTTTGTCTGTGTTTGGCAATCTTTTATATTTTGTTTGTTTGTTCGTTTGTTTGTTGTTTGTTTGTTTGTTTGACTACATATGTACTATATCGGATTCGCTTTATTGAACAATAATCATACAATGCAATAAGGCTGTTTTGATTTCATTGTAAATGCATTAAGCCAAGGTTTACTAAACATGTCTTTAGATAATTCAGAAAAAAAATATACATACCTTAGGATCCTAATTCATTTACCCTTTCTGTTGTAATATACAGGAACATTAACAACAACAACAATTCCTGCAAAACCAACAACCACCAAAGTAACTGGTAAAACTACTTTACATAACGCTTCTTCGCAAACCACCAAAATATTTCGTGGAGGTGAGAACGGTACTATAACAACGAAGAATGACCAATCCCAAACTTTCTCTTTGCAAACTAGGAGCTCAGTCAAAGATACAACAATATTTCCGGGCGTTGTCACAGGACACGTTTCGAAGAGGATGACATCGGCAAATGCGTCATTCGCATTCCCGTCTTCTTCCAAGTTTCAAACTGGTAACAATGTCAGTTCTGAGAAAAACACACCGTCAAATGGTAGGTAGTTAGCAGATTAAGTTTTCCTTTATGAAATAAGTAGGTGTAAGAATATTGATTTATCTTTATACATTTTATATTTTTGTATGAAATGGTGTCAACTTTTTTTCTTTTCTCAATATGTACAGAGCTTAGATATAGATTTAAAGTTCAATTACTTAATAAAAGCTATGTTGTCCAGATTTATGAGTAAAATTTTCTCTCGTGCATAATTTTTGAAAAATGAAAATGTTTTGAGGAGTTTGGTCATCAACAACACCAGTGATAACACCAACATCGCCTTCAACTTCTTCAGTTACTAACAGAAAAACAACACCGACTCGTGTTCCACCTTCACGAGCCAGTGGAAAAACTCTCACCACTATTTACTCAACTGCTGAAGGATCAAGCACAGTATCATATGAATCATCATCTAATGCGGAAAATGTCGTAGACCCAGATGATATAAATTGTGAGTAGAATGAATTTTGAAATGTTGTTTCTCATATTCTCATATTCATCATATTAGTATTTAAAAAGTTACTGCTCATGTAATGCGTTCTGTACATCACTCTTCAATTTAATGACTGTAAGCTAATATATTTCGTATGTTTATTTACGACAAGAAGTTGTTATTGTTGTTATGTTATGTTTTTTTTTTCTCATGTACATGTATTTTTATTTGCATCAAGAAGTTGTATATATACTATTTCTCTTTTGTTGAGACGTTCTGGCGTTAAGTATATGACAGAGACGAATTTAGGGCACCCGACAATATGCATTCTATCAAATATGTAAAATTTATAAGAATTGCAAGCAAGGTCTATAGAAGATCATATCAATTTACATCTTATTAATTAAGAGAAAATGTTTAAAGCCATTTCAGATCTGCCTAATATATATAAAAAAGTGACGAGTTGACAAAAAGTTGACTCGTTCTGGACGAGATAACTAAAAGTAGGGAACGAGCTGACCAAAAATGTGCCGAGTACACTATGGGAGGCGTTGACCGCGGCGCTAGTTGTAGTGTCATTTGACTTTTATGCTGTATTTTTATCGGACAGCTATTTCAGTTTAATTTTAATTTATGACCCGTTGTGTCGTCAAAATAATAAGGGAGACATAGTTACAGTTAGAAAGCAACACTGACTCTGAAGAAACAATGCTATATGATATAAATGAATTATACTCCCAAGGTCTAATGATACATGCACTTAAATTTATTCCATACCGCCTTCACTCCTGTCCAAATAAATCTTTATCACATACCGCTTTTGTGACTCCGTAAAATTGGTACTGCACGGCCGTGCATATATTTTAACATGACCTCATTTGCGTTATACAAACACATTGTAAAGACGCGGTAAATGTTAGCGTTATACTACAGGCGTGTTTGTCAATGAAAAAATACTCTTTTTTATTTTAAACATTCTTTTTTTGTATGTGAAAAAAGAACACTAAATTCGTGTCAGTTTATTACTGAATTTATTCAGCTCGTTCAATAAATTTATTATTGAAATTACACTCATTCAATATTCTCTATATAAATTTAATACAACAATTTATCAAGGAAATCATAATCAAGATATATAGAAAACGCTTTGACACTTTAGACAACACTAAAATGCTGCCAACTTATTTAACATATTTTACGAATTTATTAGCTCAACCTCGTTTTGATTCAGTTCGGCTAGTTCTTTCTTTTATTTTCTCCAGCACTTTGCGCTATTTATAGCAATAACTTCTAATTACGATTATTTTACATTGACATCTTTCAAATTCAGAAATAAAAGAATTTCAACAACAACTTTGCAAACTCTAATTCATGCACTAAGCAATTATCATATTTCTACATTCCTATAACGCTCGGCAATGGTTAAGCAAAGTTTATTTACGCTCAGCAAAGGTTAAGAGCAATAGTTAAGCAATGTGTATTTAACATTGTTAAGCAAGGTGTACCCTAAAATGAATCTGCTTTTGCGCAGGTTTTTTTCTAGACAAAGATAATATTAAGTGTCTTACTTTTTCTTTTCTACAGATTGTGTTGTTATTGTAGTTCCGGTGGTCATCTTCGTTTTACTCCTTCTCGTAGGTATTGTTATATATAAAAGGTTTGTGAAATAAAGAGAAAACGGAGATGGATAGTTGGCAATACAACGTTATAATACTCAACGACATAAAACTCAATCGATACAACACATTTGAATGTCTGCCCATGTAATATTCTTTATTTATTATGTAATTGTCACGTGTTTTATCAGTTTGGGTAATTAAGTCCAGTTGGATATTAGTAAAAACAGCCAGCCTTTAACGGAATATGAATAAAATGTAATTTTCTTGATTTTGTTGTTGTTTTGTTGTTGTTATTATTATTATCGTTGTTTTTGTTGTTGTTTTATTGTTGTTTTTGTAAGTTGTTTATTTTGATTCGGAGGAAGGGGTGGGCCTAAGATTTAAAAGATATATGTATCTGCTTTTTTAATTGTTGTTTTATAAAAGTGAAATACTTTATTTATTTCTTTATTTATGTTAGTTTAAGCATGCCTCTTTTTATTATCACACGCATTGATTTGTTATTGATTTAGAAATTAAGTACAGTGTTTTTAATCTTGATTAAAGCTTTTAGTTATTAAGTTGTAGTTTTAATATGTACTCAATTGAAGTAAAATATTCATTCCAGTGCAACCAAAATATCAAAAAAAAAAATATTAAGTCATCACATACACAGGTATAAATAAATTAAACAAACATGCACATTATAGAAAAGGTGATGACCTTTCTGAAAATATAGTTTTAAAACGTTCATTCAACATACATACATTATGTAATATCAAGAAAATAAAATGTAAACGTAATAATTAAGGGTAGGCGAAATTCGAACTATGGCCCGGTCAAATTTATTAGTAGCACAGCCATGGCGTTTGGAATGAACTGAAAAATTTTGATATTTTTTGTCATTGTAATTCTTTGTTGTTTGTGTGTAAGAAATTAACAGCAGTTTTGGTAATTGTCCTGCATTACACAGTTTTGTAGCTTTGTATGTATTTGTGACTCTCCAGATGGTGGTTAAAAAGTTGAGAAAATGAAGCATTGGCGCCAAGAAACCTTAAAAATCTAAACGTATGACTGACTTTATGGCATTTTTGAAATTGCCATTGATTTCACTGTGTGTATGTGATATGTTTTGAAGAAAATCGAGCGAATTCTGGAGAATCCTGTACCTTCATGAGGATGGCCTATATTAGTATATTTCATGAGTTATAGTTGGTGGGGTAAATAATATATTATGTCATTCTTTACTTTTAATGTATGCAAACTGTATTTTTTCTTCAATGCATGTCATATATTTTATCAATGTGGTGCAATTGGTTATCTGCCTCTGTAAAAATGTAGTATGTGGAATTGTGTTTTTGGCAGACTGAACTTTAAATTGCTCATTTTTATGTCCTCTGCCTCCTTGGTTTTGCAACATTTTCGGATTAATAACTCCAGAATTTCTGTTGATGAAACCAAAATTGATTGTTATCGCAATTGCTTTGATTTAGCTTATTAGGCAGACAGCGAAAAGTACCTTCATTTTGATGTCTGAAGTTATGATGCATTTATTAAAAATGCAACTGTGAGTTTATATTATCAGTTATAAAATAACTTTGACACGAACACTTAAAAAAGATAAAGTATCTTATTAGTTGGGTACGATGTATAAGGCGAACGTTGACTTTGTTGCATTTATCAATACAGAATAATACATCCATTATGGTCCGATCGAGAAGTGCGGATGATTCGGATGATTTTTGTTTCATACTTGTTGTTATCACTCTCATAGAGACATTTCGTTTTGCCTGAATAAGTTTGAACACAAAAGTAAATTTTCCACTATAAGTATTTAAATATCTTTAATCTTTCTATTATCAATATTGCATTGTCATCTCATAGCTTGTTCCGACATACCAGTTTACAAATGGCTGATAAAATAGAGGTAAGTAAGTAGTAAGCAATCAAAGTACAATCGAAAGAATTATACTATATATGAGCCGTGTCTCGACAAAACCAACATTATGGGTTTGCGACCAGCATGGATCCAGACCAGCCTGCGCATCCGCGCAGTCTGATCAGGATCCATGCTGTTCGCTTACAAACCCTATAACAAGTAGAAAAACTGATAGCGAACAGCATGGATCCTGATCAGACTGCGCGGATGCGCAGGCTGGTCTGGATCCATGCTGGTCGCAAACCGTTATGTTGGTTTTGTCATGACACGGCTCATATTATTTAAATATACCTTAAATTACCTACGTACACTAAGTTGCGCCAATGATTCTATGTAATGTAAGACTCAGTCGATCAATTTGATTTTTGTATAAATTAATGTTCCTTTTTGCATTTTGTATGCACGGTATTTAAGACGAAAACTACACGTAAACTAAATGGCTTTATTTTGATACACTGTTTAATGTATCACTACATACAAATATATCACGTGGCAGATAATACATATGAATGTGTAAACGTTAGATTTGCGGATCTAAACATAACAGATCAAAATAAGTTTGAAGAAAAAAGAAGTTATTTGAATAATTGTGGAAATTGATTTTTTGACCCAAATCCTCATAATTGTACTTCATCAAAGATAACTCTTAGATGAAGTAACGTTTCAAAACAGAAAAGAATCATGTAATGACACGTGCATAGGTAAGTTTCTCTGCTATATTTGTTCTACGATTTATAAAATATTTGATATTGTTTATTACGTCGAGAGCAAGCATGTTGCAAAATAATAAATATTTAAAATTATTTAGTGTGCAGCCCCAGCTTAGTATGAAAATGAAAATCCCTTCTCCTATTTGTAATTGATCCAATATTGTACGCAATAATTCCTCCTATTTTGTAATATTGATTAAGAAAAATGAATTTACAATACAAACATTGAAACATTGTTAAATATAGTTTACACGATGATCAGTGATAGTAAGATTTATATATATCCGAAATATGAATTACGACTTTATCACAAAAATATAGAACAAATATATCACATTAATTCATAACTTGAATATAAGCATATATTGATTTAATAATTTGCACTGGAATACGGAATTACGCACAGAACTGGTCATAAATGTACCGATGCACCTTATTCAATAGATTTTGATATAAATTTATAAATTTTCATTTTAATTCATTTATGTTAAAAAAATCATTCAGATGAATGTAAGCAAAGATACAGAGATAACTGACTGTGGTTTTTTAATTTATTATATCAATAGAGAACTAGCTGCTCAGGTTAAGTATTGTCTACACAACTGTACTTTTACTCTGCTTTAGTCGGTGCTAGTGGGCATGAATTGACCACTACCGTTCTTAAAGATATTGTTTGCTTTTATTTTTGCCTCTGTTTCACAATCATTTTTATTTATTTTTAAATATGTCATTAAATAATCTAGAAAAAAAATGAATAAAATTCAGCATTATTTTAACTGATGCTAATTCATTTACCCTTTGTACAGGAACACTATCAACAACAAGAACAACAACCACCTTTGCTGCAAAACAAATGACCACCAAAGTAACTCGTAAACCTACTGTATACAACGTTTCTTCTCAAACCACCCAAACACTTCTTAGAGGCAGGAACGGTACTACTAGTATTACAACAAAGAATGGCCAGCCCAAAACTTCCATTACTTCCTCTTTACAAACTAGCAGCACAATCAAAGATACAACACTATTTCCAGGCGATGTTACAGGACACGTTACAGGACACGTTTTAAAGAGGATGACATCGGCAAAGGCGTCAGTCACATACCCGTCTTCTTCAAACATTCAAACTGTCAGTTCAAAGAACAATGGTAGGTAGTAGGCAGATACAGTTTTCCTTGATGAAATTAAGAGGTAAAGAACATTGATTTATCTAATCTCATTGCTATAATATAATATTCATTTTGTATAATTTGTATAAAATGGTGGCAATATTTTTTTCTTATAAATAACTAAAAATACTATTTTTTATCATTATGAATAGCTGCATTATTACCATTGGTCATCTAAAATTAGAGACAGACATAGTAAAAAGTTTCAGCCGATAGAAAACTTTAAATCTTTGACTCTATATCGGTGTCTGCAAATAACAGGAAACAACATTTAATCAGTTCAGTTCAGTTTTCAGTTTTTATTAACCCAAGGCATATAATATGCATCTGGTTATAACAACAAACAAACAACAAACAAACAGAAAAAAACAGTAAAAAATCAATAATATCACAATATAATGATACAATTATGACTGGCTAAATAAACAAAAAAGGAGATCATATTGTTCATTTCAAGTACTGAATTCAATACAACATGTATTTTACATTGTAACAAATGGGAACGGAGAATGAGAAGTATTAATTATCTAAATTTTAACATGTGAGCCGACTGTTCTTGGTCAGCACTGGTCTCATTGGTGATTCAGTTGCGGCCAGTCAGTTAAAGGTTAACTATCGATCATAATTACATTAACATGCCTAACATTATCTCAAGATTCATGTGTTATTATGATGTTTGTTGTAGTGATCTAATTCGTTCATGAATTTCCGGGAGAAACGGGTCTATTAAGTTGAGTCATTTTTCATGTTGTGTCTTCTATTCCTTATAGAACAAGTATCATTATGCTGAAAGTAATTTGAAAATACATCATCCTCTAACTTTTGAAATATTTGAATAGATAAATATATCACCTTTAGAAATTCAGCATCATATTCTTAGAGAAAATATTTCACTTTTTGAACACGCCTATTCAACACACACTTTTAACATCATCAGTTTTGAGAACAGAATTTATCGAATGTGCAAAAATCGATACTATATATCTATCTACGTGACGTTCACAATATCTTATGAAATTTGTTGCTATTTATAACGAAAAAAACGCTAATCGTGCCATCATTATCAATATTTTCAAGCCAATATCAATATTTTCAAATTCAATCATTTCTGAAGTTAGGTACAAACTTGCGACAGTTAAATAAATTACTACGTATATTGACCCTTGTAATTATTTGATACAGAGTCCCACATTTATCTTGTATTTTCAATATTATACTTGCATGAAAAGTGAAATGTATACAATTTAAAGTGCCTCTATACAGAATTATTTGATTACGGACTTTTGTCCTACAATTTTTTATCAAGTTTTTAATTTTAATCTTTGATGTTTTCATTAAAATGTATTTTATAAAAATTAGTCCTGGTTGTATATAAAACTAGAGACGTCATAGATTGTTTCAATCGTTCCGTTTTAATACATTGGTTTTGTTAAAAGATTCCATAAACTCGGAAATAATGACACGAAATCATAGATGGATAAAAGTATGTACAAGATTATTTCACATCAGTCCATTTGTTCAATAGACGGGCGTTATTACTGATTTTTGTAATGACTAAAATGAGACAGTTATCCTTATGTTGTTGTTTTTTGTATTCACACTGAATGGTACTTTTTTGTCTTATTAAATTCCAGTGCGTTCCTATTTTGTTAAAGTAGACTTTATTCGATTATGGCATAGGTAGAAATTTGACGTCACATCAGATATGGTATGTGCTTGTCAATGACAAGCAAGAGGATTTTCTTACCGTATACACATTAGCAAATTCATGCATATCACTATTTTATATTCCAGGTGGAAGGACAACTGGTCTGAACACATCCGCCAAGTTCTTGCTCGGAGTACTCATTCTCCGGTCACTTATGCAGACGACTGATGCTAATTTTGATATTTTAGTTCGTTAAATTGTCATAAAACTAATGTGAAAAAAAAATACAATGCAGTATCTGAATTGAAAGAAATAAATGTTTTTTTTATAAATTTTTGAAATTGATTTTTTTTCGATTTTTTCTATGAATGATAAATGTTTGTCAATTAACGTTTATAATTAACAGTATTAACAATATACCTTATGCTCATAATTTCATTGTCAGATTGAGCTGAATTAAGTATATACTTCAAAAGATTGACTGTTCTAAAGGAGATTGAACAATGTTAGATTTTGGAAAATGTTTAAGATAAAATATAAATCTGCCTAAAAAAATATAAAACAAACTGCCCCACTATTTTTATACATTGAACGTTACAGGTAAATTCCGATAGGTTTTTACAGAATGTTTATTTTTGGTCAGACGAGTTATTTATCATTGATGCGAAGAATATTATAAAAGTGAAAGGAATTATTTTGGCAAAATATATTTTATTTTGACTATCACCTGTTTACTCATTGTATACATTTGGATACACATAATGTCACTTAAAGAAAGTAAATGCGTATGTCATACTGCACATGTCTAAATATATAAATATAAGCGGATTTATTTTAATTGTATAGAATGTTTGTATATAGTGTATAAGATTTAATTTGTTTGTAAGTGACCTTTATATTTTCAGAAAATTTTACAAATATTTAAAAACTGTCCTGTTTACATAAAACTCTGCACGTCTCTCTTTGTTTTATCATCTAAACATAAGATATTGTGACAGACATGTATTGTGTCGTTAGCACTTAGATAATCTATTTCAAGACATGAAGAATATTTGATATTTGTTAATGTTACATTGAATATGGTACTCGTGTTTTCTTTACTTGTTTCGATAAGTTTTCAGAAGTGATTGTTAATAGACATCAAAATGTACTTCATAACATACCCTACAATCAAACATTATATGTATTTAGACAATAATTTCTTTTTTTTTCTTTTTCAATTGTTACTTTCCTTTCATTTCTAAATGTTCGTTAAAGCTTCATGCCTCCAGATGAATACAGATATTTTTTTAAATATCCTACTTAGAAAATTTGTACTTAGATAAATGTTTATCTTGTGCACACATATTTATATGCCGAAAGATGCTTTGCATAAATAGTATGGAAGGTGTTACTGTTTTTAACACCAACTATTTTTGACTAAGAAAGAAAAAGTCATTTTAACGAAAGACCGGTAGGGCCATTTCAACTTCATGAATTCCCGATTTCATCATCATGAATTCACAATTTAAACTTCGTGCATTCCCGTTTAAAAAATACGGAATTCACGAATTCACGATTCAGCGTCATGAATTCACGACTTCAACTTCACAAATTCACGATTTCAACTTCATGAATTCACGATTTCAACTTCACGAATTCACGATTTCAACTTCATGAATTCACGATTTCAACTTCATGATTTCAACTTTGTGAATTCATGATTTCAACTTCACGAATTCACGATTTCAACTTCATGAATTCACGATTTCAACTGCATGAAGTTGAAATCGTGAATTCGTGAAGTTGAAATCGTGAATTCGTGAAGTTGAAATCGAGAATTTATGAAGCTGAAATCAGGAATTCATGAAGTTGAAATGTCCCCACCGGTCTTTCGTACATTTTTGTATACTTTTGACAACAAAATTTTCTGTCGATGTTTGGCATGTGGCTGCTTGAATCACTTGACATCGTTTTAACATATCTATTATCGTATTCATAAATATTAACTGATAAAAGAAAATTGGAGGTGTTCTGCATAAGGGATTACTTGCAGATCGGTTTGTGCTACAAACTTGTTTATACACACCGGCGGTATTGTCTTATCTGATAATGAATGTACATGTAATCATCGTTGAAAATGTATAATAGCTTTAAAAGATAGATCATAAAAGAATATTAAAATATGTGTTTGGGAAAACATTTTTGAAAGATTGATTAGATAGCATTTCTTTAATTCAGATTTTATACCGACTAACAATAACATACAATTGGACGTTGTAGCGATTTCCTAATTTGATTAAATATGCCTTTATGTCACAAAATACATTCAGGTCTTAAATTCCCCCATGCCGATAGCTCACAAGGCGTTCTGTTGTTGTCTTTTTTCTGTTTGTCTTTTGAAAACTTCAGTATTAGTTATAACCTTTTGGACTGTGTATTTGACATGTTAATTTATTGTCAGATATTTTTCTAGATGGACTGCAATATGTTTACACAAACAATTAGATAATAAAGTCGAATTAAGCATTCAATGCTTGTTATTAACAAGCTGAGGTATTTCTATAATGATACTAACAAATCAGTTACTACCATATGCATTTATTTATCCCAATCCGCAGACCAATGTGTATCATCTCTTTGTGAATACTTACAGACTGCTATCACATACGTTCAAATCAATATTCGATGCTTATTTTGTACGAATGTTAAACTTTAAATACATGGTTCAAATCAGTTTTATATTGCGTGCTTGTTTTCTCAGGCGATTAAATTTGAATTAATTTTTAGCAAATATAACGCATTTTCTAACAAAGGAAAAGTAGTATCGGGATGTTTGTTTGTTCTACTGATATTTTAGACAAATACTTCGAAATATCTTTGATTGTTTTGTATTTTATTGTAGTTGTTGTTGTTTTTGCTTTGTTCTCATCTGCTTCTCTTTTTTCAAACCTTTTGATCGGTTCAGTATTACACACAGCAATAGAAATACATTTGCCATTTTCTTTTTTTTAAACCGAAAACAAAATAAAATTTAAACTTTTATACTTTATCAGTAGTTACACATTCTTTAGTTGTTACAATAAAACCGTCCACTTTTTGTTATCTACAATAGATAAATGCTATCTTAAGTAATAAACATATAATATGTAAAATATTAAATCTAACATCAAAACTTAATTCGTGAATTGATTTTTCTCATAATTACATTCCCGCATTTCACAACAAAAAATATATAGACCCAGGGTCTTAGTGTATTAAATAAGTTTACCTCCTGTCGGGAAAAGGGGTCCACGTTAAAATATATAGGCTTCCAAGAGAGGTATATACATTATGTTTCGTTTATATATTGTGAAGGTACTTGAGAGCGTTAGAAATTTATATGTAAATAATGATCAAATTTGTATATTTTTGTACTTCTTGTACCCTCCTTCTCTCAGTATTAGGAATAACAGCTAAATCTTCCTGGATCGTTAAGCACCATCATTGGAAAGATTAAGAGTGGAACATGTCATATATCGTACATTGATTCTTGTTTTCTAAGTGTCTTATTAATGTGTTATTGCAGTTATTGAATTGTTATAATATTCCAATGTTACAAGTGTATATTTGTTAAGATAAAAGTACCAATGTATTTGCACTATGCATTGATATCAATGACATATCACGTAAGTAGAAAGTTATATATAAAACCTCTAACCTTCAACTTCAAATTGATTTTGAATGGTTTTGTTGCATTTTATCTTTGTTATCTTTTTGCATATGGCAACATGAGGATTTTATTTATTCCGATACTGAACAGTTATGGAATTTATTGATTAACATTGATTGAAATTGTATTATTTTTAACACCTTTGTGTCGATGATAAGAAAGAACAGCGCATTTCTTCCTGGATTGTAAAGCTTAATCATTGGTAGGGATTAAGAGTGTATTTTTTCGTATATGGAAATGTTTTATAAACTTGGAAATTATGCAATATTGACCCATATAAACACAATTATCCAAATGGTAATATTAATGAAACCCAACCAAATGATAAAAAAGTGTGATAAGAAATAAGAATATTCAATCAAGCAGTATAAAAGATTGTGACTCTGGAACTTTTTTTAAACTCGCTTAAGGTTAGGCTTGGCACTGATTTATGCACATAACAATTAAGGCTACTAAAATCTATTTAGCTTTGATAGAATTATTCAAAAATTTGGATCGGCATGAATAAATGTGGGTGTATTTATATTATAAGTTTAATAGTGGCAGTGTTTGTGTTATATCAACAAGTGACGCATACTCTTGCTTCTGATGAATCATGTACCTGGAGTTTATGGTCGCCATGGAATTGCTCATGTTGTGTAAGTTATAGCCATATACCAACAAAAAGAGTTCGCATGAAATGTTGTTCCAATACCACAGAATGTCCTAAACTTCGAATTTCAGCGGAACCTATTGTCTACACCGATGATGACCATGAGATTCGCAACGAATGTGAAAAAGATATTTGTAAAGACAAAACTAAATCATACTACAAAAACTGTCCTCATGAACCTCCTGAAAAAAACATTTTGTCGTGTCAACGCATATGTACAGGTAAGTTTTGTTTGACTGCTCTCAGACGATATTTTGGAAGTAAGCAAAGGTGTTTGAAATTTTCGCTTTATATTAAACATTTAGTTTGTTGTTGTTGGGTTTTTTTTTGTTGTTGCTTCTTGTTGTTTTGGTTTGGGTTTTTTTTGTCCTAGTTAACGAGATTTACTTAGAATGTTCTTATGATTAGGGCCGAAGGAATGGTTTATATTTTTTCTTTGGATATGGTACAAATATTCTTAATTTTCTCAATGACATATTTATTATTCCAACCTATAATGATTTAACATACTTCTATTGTATTTTTAGTGACATATATATTTTAAAACTATGTTTGTACAATTGCAAGTTTTTTAACTGTTTGGTTTTATTTACATTTCTCTGGGGAAGTGTCCTTTTTCTTGAATTTATATACTCATTTAAGCAAACGTTATGTACTGGCAACTGTTAAAACGTTGCATAAAATTTCATCTTGCCATTGTTTTTCTGTCCCTTTGGTGTCGAATCAATTGTTTGCAAGTGTCTTGGGAAAACATGTCCCTGATAAGAAAACATGTTTTCTTCACTCATAACAAAGTGCCTTATTATTAAAGGGAGTTGATTCAGCTTTAAAATTATAGTTATTTAGAATTGCCAGTAGAAAACAAAATTATAATCAGGCATCAATGGGCCATATTATGTAAGTTAAATCCTTTAAAGTGTTTCTGTCTCCAGGGTTAAAATTTTCGCATCAACCTGGTCATAGTGTTTACATACTAAAAATGTGACTTGACAAGATTTCGACATATTGTATCTCAATGGAAATGTAAGAATGATTTAATCGTATTTTATTCGAGACAATAAAATATATTCAACTAAAGTACTTTAGTTTATATATCAAAACGACCATTGTAGAAGTTCAAACTAAAAGATATTTTGCTTTGATCAATATACAACGATATTTTTAGGTTTTGTGTCGAAGATACCATTGACCACGCCGTCGGTGACTTACCAATCTGAATACACCTCTACTCCCAGATTACAATTACAAAATAACAACACTAACACATCTAAGAACACTAGTGGTAGGTTGCTAATCAAGATTATATAGGTTTTATTGAAATGCAAAAATATGTATTCACATTATTTTTTTTTTTGCTATACAAACATCAATGATTTCAATGATTTCAAAAATAGCAAGCGTTTATTTGAATACAAAAATTCAAGAATTAAGAATTTTATGTCATTTTTTAAATCATGATGTATTATAACATTTTTATTTGATGTGAAAAACAAGAGCATCGCAAGGACGGGGCAATATACGCCGAAAGCAACTTTGTTTGTGTAATCAAAAAAATCTTTCAACAACATTTTATTATCTTAATTATTCCTTTAATACAAACAATCCCTAGGGTTGTTCGTCTAATACCATAGGTGAATGATTCATAAAACTTTTATAAACGTTAACCAGGATATGCTTCGTGCCAAATATATCATCACTCAGCACTGCAGTTCTACACAAAATGATTTGAGGTGCTTTCTAAAATATCAATCTACATAAGAAATAGAAGCCCCCCTGGGCAGAGACAAGTCTGACATGCTACATGCTAATATCAAAATTGTTGTTTTTATAGTGTAGGAGAAATAGTTTCAAGATATGTTATGAATTCTACATAAAAAGTGACCCCAGGGTGGAACCTATCCTTACCCAAGGGTCATGATTTATGTCACTTTTGTAGAGGTCAATTAAGCATTGCTACATGCCAAATATCTAAGCTTTTGGCATTTCACACAATAAATTTAAATATGTTATCCTATAGCAGTCTATATTAACTTAGTGACCCCTGGAGCGGGGTAATAAAAGGGGGTATGGTATGAATCAGTTTTGTGGAGGTTCACAAGGTAGTGCTATATACCAAATGATTAAGCTCTGGACATCATAGTTTTACAGACTAAGACTAAAATGTCTTTTTTCCATATAAATCAGGTGACCCTAGTAGCATGGCATATATTCACCCTACGGGCTTGATTTATATAAATTTTGTTCTAATACACAAAACATTGCTACATGCCATATATTTAAACTCTGGGCATTTAGTTTCACAGAATAAAACTAAAGAATATTTCTTATACAAGTGTATATGAATTAATTGACTCCCGGAGCGGGGCTAATTTTGACCCAATGGACATACACCATACCACGTTTGTAAAGGTCCACAAGGCAACGCTACATGTCAAGTAACTAAGCTATGGGCATAGTAGTCTCACAAAATAGACTAAAATATGTTTTCCTATATGATCAATATTGACCCAAAGAACATGATTAACATCACTTTTGTAGTGGTCTAAAAGGCAATTCCATATGTCAAATATCTGAACTCTGGGCATTGTAGTTTCATAAAGTAATGCATAAATATGTTTTCCTATATAAAGCCCTTATACATCAAGTGACGCCCGGGGTTAATTTTGATCTGAGAAAGTTTTAATTAGTTTTAATTTCCTTCCACCGGTTCAATAGATACAGACCAGTCACGAAACCTTCTAATAGACAGGCGGACAGACGGACGACCAGGCGTATAAAATGATTTTGAAATTCAGCAGTTATCAAATTTCCCTTCCAAAACAGAAAATGTATTTACTAAAATGAAGCATTGTCTTGAACTATTACCCGTTGGTAATCCGATTTTATCAATTTCTAAATTTGCAAATAAAACTTATTTTGCCGTGAATTTTTGGTCGATCTGTGACGGGTTGGTTAAATGTTGATCGTACATGTTTTGTTTCGCTTAATTAAGAATGCAAATTCAAAATAATCAGCTGACAAAAATATTTATTTTTAAGAATATTATTAAATGTTCAAATCGAAATTTTTAATAAATTTTGTAAGAGATACATGCTATTTAATCAATATCCTATGAAATAAATCTCGAAGTGGGATATTACGTTTAGTACTTAATTTTCCCCTTTATAACAATTTTGAAATTTTGTGTCCAGTATGGCGTGTGGAGTGTTGCAAAATTGTATAAAAAATTATTTGTTCAATAAATTATATTTATGTTCTAAAAACATATTTGTGAAGTTAAAAAAGCATATATATTGACAATAATATATATATGTGGACAATAAAGAATATATTTATGGACAATAAAACAATATGTATGGACAATGAGAATATATATATATATGGACAATAAAAAATATATTTGTGGACAATAAAACAATATATATGGACAAAAAATATATATATATGGATAATAAAAAATATATTTATGGACAATAAAACAATATATATGGACAAAAAATATATATATGGACAATAAAAAATATATTTATGGACAATAAAACAATATATATGGACAAAAAAATATATATATGGTCAATAATTAGAAAATAATATTTGTTCACAAAATTATATTTATGTTGTAAAACACATATTTATGAGGTTAAACTTTTTTTTATATGGACAATAATTAGCATTATGGGATACACCAATCAAATTTGTAACAACCAATCTCATTGGTTCGTTCATTCCAACATGGTAGCTTGCATCGGAACATGGTCAACGGAAAAAGGGATCGAGTGAGAGTACACTTTGCATATTTAGCCCTGCCTATAAATTAAGCACGAATTTCTGATTAAGCGTTATCATCCTGATTAAAAAGAAATCATTAGAGTCACTGTGAAATAATGCATATGCTTAATCCTCCTAATAAATATATGCATATGTCTAAAAAATTGAAACAGGCTTTAAACTTCACGACATACAATTGTACAATAATGGTTTTTCATAAATATGCCTAATAATTTAATCAGCATATGAATCTATGTTAGGATATCAAGTAAGATGATTATAGGATCATCTGAATGCACATGTACACAATGTATACTTATGTTCATTAAAGATATATGAGGAATCACATTATAAGAGGACCAAGAGATCATCTACATGAACATATACTCTAGTTTTGATAGAAGATGCATGAAAGGTTAATATAAGATAAGCAGGGAATCATCTAGATATAAATATATATTAGTAGTGATGGAATATATATGAAGAAGGGTCATCTGGTCTACTGTAGTTTTTAAAGAACATATGTGAGGGAAATGCATATAAACATTTTTATTATGGAACAGATATAAGGGTATCTCGTAAGATGACCAGGGGATTATCTAGATGTACATATACTATAGTTTTCATGGAACAGAAAGAAGGGGATCACGTAAGATTACAAGATCTTCTAGATGTACATAAACTCTTTTTCATTATATAACAGATATAAGGGGATCACATAAAATGACTAGGGGATCATCTAGATGTACATACACTATAGTTTTCCTTGAACAGAAATAAGGGGATCACGTAAGATGACCAGGTGACATCTAGATGTATATATATATGAGGGGATCAAATAAATGAAAAGGGGATCATCTATATGTACATAAACTCTTATTTTATTATGGAACATATATGAGGGGATCGCGTAAAATGACAAGGGGATCATGTAGATGTACATATACTATAGTATTCATTGAACAGAAATAAGGGGATCACATAAGATGACCAGCGGATCATCTAGATGAACACATATACTTTCATTGAACGATAGAAATAAGGAGCTCAGGTAAGACGACCAGAGGATGATCTATGTGTACATACTCTTTTCATTATGGAACAGATATGAGGGGATCGCGTAAAAGATCAGGTGGTCATCTTGATGTACATAATTATACTATAGCTTTCATTGAACAGAAGTAAGGGGATCACGTAAGATAACCAGGTGATCATCTAGATGTATATATCTATTTGCGTCCATGGCCGAGTGGTTAAGGTCGTTGACTTCAAACCACTTGCCCCTCACCGCTTTGGGTTCGAATCCCGACAGGCACTTTGGATTCTTTCATGTGAGGAAGCTATCCAGCTAGCTTACGGAACGTCGGTGGTTCTACTCAGGTGCCCGTTCGTGCCTGAAATAATGCACGGAAGGGCATTTGAGGTCACCCTCCACCAGTAAAGCTGGAACGTCACGATAATCTTACGTGATCCACTTATTTCTGTTCAATGAAAACTATAGTATATGTACATCTAGATGAACCCCTCGTCATTTTACGTGATCCCATCACATCTGTTTCAAAATGAAAAAGAGAAGGTACATCTACATGATATCCGTGTAATCTAACGTGATCCCCTTATTTCTCTTCAATGAATACTATAGTATATGTACATCTAGACGATACCCTGGTCATTTTACGTGATCCCCTATATAATATCTGTTCCATAACGAAAAAGAGTATTTGTATATCTAGATAAATTCTAGTAATCTTACGTGATTTCATTATTTCTGTTCAATGAAAACTATAGTTACTGTATATGTACAGGTAGATGATCCCCTGATCATTTTACCTGATCCCCGCATATTTGTTTCATAGTTAAAAAGTGTATATGTACATATAGATGATCGCTAGTAATCTTACGAGATCCTATTATTTCTGTTCAATGAAAATTATAGTAGATGTACATCTAGATGACCCCATGGTCATTTTACGTGATCTTCTCATATCTGTTCATTAATGAAAAAGAGTTTATATACATCTAGATGATCCCCTTGTAATCTTACGTGATTCCCTTATATCTGTTCAATGAAAACTATAGTATATGTAAATCAAGAAGATCCCCTGGTCATTTTACGTGATCCCCAAGCTTTTATCTGTTCCATAATAAAAAAAGAGTTTATGTACATATAGATGATGCCCTGGTCATCTTACATGATCCCTTATTTTGGTTCAATGAAAATTATAGTATAATTATGTTCATCTAGATGGCCCCTTGTCATTTTACGTGACACCCTCATAACTGTTCCATAATGAAAAGGAGTTTTTGTTTATCTAGGTGATCACATCTTACGCGATTCCCTTAATCTGTTCAATGAAGACTATGAAGTATATGTACATCTAGATGATCCCCTGGTCATCTTACGTGATCCCCTAGTTTATACCTGTTCCATAATAAAAGAAGAGTTTTTGTACATTAGATGATCATTTTGTCATTTTAGCTTAACCCCTCATATATGTTATTTAAGAACTACACTGTTTATACATGTACATCTAAAACACCAGGTCATCCTTCATATATGTTCCACACAACCAGTGTATACGTACATCTAGTACATCACGCATATATATTATTTGGAGGATAAATCATATGCACAATTTTACAGTGACACTGATCATTTCCATAGATTTATAATCTATTCTAATAAGGATGATAACTCGAAATGAGAAATTCGTGCTTAATTTATAGGCGGGGCTAAAATATGCAAAGTGTACTTTTTTCTCGATCCCTTTTTCCATTTACCTATGTTCCGATGCAAGCTGCCATGTTGGAATGAACGAACCAATGAGATTGGTTGTTACAAATTTGATTGGTGTATCCCATAATGCTAATTATTGTCCATATAAAAAAAATTTTAACCTCATAAATATGTGTTTTACAACATAAATATAATTTTGTGAACAAATATTATTTTCTAATTATTGACCATATATATTTTTTTTGTCCATATATATTGTTTTATTGTCCATAAATATATTTTTTATTGTCCATATATATTGTTTTATTGTCCATAAATATATTTTTTATTGTCCATATATATATATTTTTGTCCATATATATTGTTTTATTGTCCATAAATATATTTTTTATTGTCCATATATATATTTTTTGTCCATATGTATTGTTTTATAATAATAATTGTCCACAAATATATTTTTTATTGTCCATATATATATTTTCATTGTCCATATATATTGTTTTATTGTCCATAAATATATTCTTTATTGTCCACATATATATATTATTGTCAATATATATGCTTTTTTAACTTCACAAATATGTTTTTAGAACATAAATATAATTTATTGAACAAATAATTTTTTATACAATTTTGCAACACTCCACACGCCATAGTCCAGTAACGTTGGCAACTTCATGAATATCTATCTCTTTTATATTCCAGATGGAGGGGCAAATTCTTCAAGTTTGTGTTTGTTACCAGGAGTTATCATTCTTGGACTATTTATTCAGACGGCTGTAACAATAGTAATGGTGTTTTAGTGCGTAACTGTTTAAAACGCTTTATTAGGACGCATGCAATTTGTAAAATCGGTTAAAAAATGTTATGTTTGTATAGTTATCATATTATATCATAAAAAGGGACATTGATTGAACAGTAATGTTTTCATATTTCTAACGAAGCAGTCGCGCATGCAGACACTTATTTACGTTACTATAAGTAACATATAAAAATTGGAAAGGGGCGTTTTAATCTGCTTTTCTCTTATTTTACATTCAAGTTCATTTAATAAAATAATGTCTTACAATTAAAACTGAAGCTTTGACAATATTAATTGTTCAAATGTTAAATCTAATATTTGTTGGGTTTTTTTAAAACTAAATTGAGTGTCATTTGTAGCTTTTAAACAATTAAAGAATGAAATATCTTTGCAGACATATTTGCAAACAAAAATTATGTTTCGTATTTTATTAACAAAGTTTAAGATTAGGTAGATGCAATTAGTTATTAAAAACGTACGAAAGCTAGTATGTGACATTTTAAGAAAAAAAAGTATAAAAAAGTAAGCAAGGGTGAGTGAGTTTGTTAGGATACAGGTGTGGATGTATGTACGTTTACGAGTGTTTAGGCCTGCATGCGAATGGTCTTTTGCTCTGTATGTACGTTAAATGGGTGTTCAGATCTGCAATGTTACAAACATAAGCCTTGAAAGTGTGTGTAAAATGACAACTTCTAGAAATATGTAATAAAGTTAAGTAAGTATTTAAATATATAAATGTATGATAACTAGAACATATATATGTCTATGTATATTTTCATCAATAAAGATTCAATTTTGTTTATCGGAAAACTTTAAGATTATCATTTGAACGGTTTTGTTAAACAAATTTAGTAATAATTATACTGTAATTTCCGAGATAGAGCATAAAATATTCCCAATTTTATATTTACATGACATTGTATGAATTTGTGCCCTTATCTCTAGAAACATGTGTTATCTCGCAAATACTTTCTCATGAAGATTTTTTTTAAACTTATTAATCTATCACAGACATAAATATTTTACTCGGTATTTTTTCTAAAAGTTTTGGTTAATGAATTTACTCTATTTAAGTTTTATAACAATCAAATGTACACACATCAGCAAAATTGTAATTTTCATAATCAATTTAGATACAATTTGTATTTTACTTCTGATGATGTTCATTCATTTCATGTCTCTAAACACAGCATATTAATTATTTTAGAAATGTGTAGTGCTTTATATCTCCTGCCTGTAGTTTACAAAGTCATAAGAGTCACAATTTCGAGAATCGCCCTTAAGATCATACAATCAACATCATTTTCGATTTTTATTGACTGTATGCATATATTTCATTACATATACCTTAAATACACTTGAAGGAATGTGCATATACAAACATGTAACTGTGCATAAAAATGCATAGATCTAGTAGTATATGTGATTTTTTCATCCATAAGATTCATGAGATCTTTGCAAACTAAAGCTGATTTTTTTAACTTCAATCGACATCAGGGTTATTGCTGCATATTTGACATGTTAAGGTTCTTTTCTGTAAAGTAAGAGGCTCATGACACTTTAAATAACTTGACAACATATATTACAATATTATGTTTCCAATTTTCATTAATAAAATCTGATGACATGTTTTCAAAGACGTGCAGATTTAAAGGTTCGTTTGTATATCGTTTTGCGTGATTTGTATAAACACATCGAATGTATTGATAAACTAATCACAACCTTGTTTTACTTATCAACGTCGAAAATAAATATTTGTTTTGCATTTAAATGTGTGTGATAAATGATTTTAGCAAGATTAAAGTTAGTGCTTCATGATGTTTTTTAGTTTTATTTTATTGCATCCTGCTGGTTAGACTACCTACAATAACGTTTTGTGTCCAATAATTGATTGTCAAGAGATTCTCCTGCATTGCAGGCATGCATCTGTTTTTTAGTCCTGTCTCCCTGATTGTCTTCTATGGCCAATAACATTTGTAATTGTTTTCAGTACAAACGACTGTCCTGTTTAAAAAATTTTTGCGAGTTAAGTACATAAATTTGCACTTAGCTAGTCTAATCAAATTGTACTGACACGCATTTGTGACAGGTCTTTCTTTTTCGGATGGACCTATCTAAAGCACAGAAAATCCGTAAGGAGGTATTTCTGGTTATAAAGAAAATAATTCAGATCTCAGGTCTTTGATTGGTCAGAAACCAACTCGAGTGTTCACTGTCCAATGAAAATCCTAAGATTTGAGACAGAACACGGAAAAAGTTATCTAACCTTGAAACCAGGTCTTATCTTGTCATACAGATCTGGTAATGTAAAACACGTGAAAAGATAGACCTGCGTACATGCAGTAGAACAATATAATAGAATTTTGAAAAAAAATGAAAACAAGTATTATCAATGCTTTTCATAATCATTTTCCGTTTATGACAAACTGGAGACGAATTATAATCGAGATAATGTTAATTGAATTATTCCAACGTTTTCATTTAAAAAAGGACATCTTATCAATGTTAAAACATATTTTAGATTCAGCTAATCACGTTATTTTCAAAGTTATATTGTAAGCGGTTCTTCCGGTATTAAATACGTTCATAATTAGACAAAATGTGGCGCTGTAAGTTGGCAACAGTTAACACATCAAAGTTCATTTCAACTTTTTAGATCACATAATCCATTTTATGAAACACGTTGCGGATAATTTACAATATGCATGAATTGTATCGATAAGATATAACAAGATATAGTTTAAATACGTCCATTTGATCTGCACTATGCACCGTCATTTGAAACAAGTCACTGTGAAGAAATGTAAGATATCCATCCGCGGGATCAGTCGGATTGTTAAATGATAAATCTCTGTTAAACGCCACTGTCTTTCGATAAGGCTTCATGTTCATTTTAAAACTCAAACAAAAAATCAACCGGCGATATATCAAAACAGTGAAAACCGCTGATTTCTCCCGGAAACCTTTGAAGCTAAGTCTTGGTTATAATGAATGCTGCATAACGTAACAGTCATTTAATATTGATAATCCAAAACTTGCAAATAGTTACAGTATATAATAAAGCATCGTCGGATACCCACGGCCGAACCATTAACATTTATCAGCCGTGGGATTTTTTGCCGATATTCAGTCGATTAGAGGTGTGTCAAAAGCAGCTATTTCATTGGCTGCCTCACGATTTCATGAGGCGATTAAAACCAATCAAAACGCTCGTTCTGTACGACGTTCGGTATTACAAACACTATTGCGACAACCATAGACGACGTGAAAAGTTCAACATCGAAAAATTAAACGATTTCCAGCAAGAAAGTATAGATAATTTACTTTTACAGCGTGATGTTTTCCTTTCTGATTGATATCTGCTATTTGGCGATAGTTTTGCCATTGATTTTAGCAAGAAACGTGTAACAGTTTTTAACCGTGGGAGCTGTCATTTTGTTTCTTATTGTTTTTTACCTCCGCTGTTGAAGAACATAGAGTTGTTAAACGCGATGTCATTGGTGGATATTTTACGCACCTGTTGCTGTATATCGACGCAAATCGATTCATTTTACCCACGGTTGATTGCATGTTATGTGACATGTTTATCAATCGTGGGTATCCGACGATGATAATAAAGATAAATTATACAGTACATACATATATAGCATTTTTTTAATTATTTCATTCAAAGGGAAAAACAAAGCTTTTTGTTTGATTTACGCCTCATCAACACTGTGGAGGTGATGTGGCGACTTTACAGCTTTACTAGCGGAGGAAGACCCCAAATGCCCCTCCTTGCACTATTTCAAGCATAAAGAGATACCTGAGTAGAACGTAAGAAAGTTGGAACGCTTCCTTACATGTAAGAATCAAAAGCCTCTGGGTGGTATTCGAACCCACAGCAGTGAGTGCAAAGTGGTTTGAAGTAAGGTAAGAGCAAAATGCATATAATATTATGTATTATTCATTAAAGCAGAACGTTAGAAATTATCTTTACGCATTTCAATGTCAAATACCCCGTAATCAGTAACCATCAAAGCTCAAATAAGATGTCTTGTACATTTTAAATAAATAACATAAAAATTTAATTAAAAGTTTAATAATCACTAATTATCAATTATCTAAATTACAATAATATTATTTTTGCAAAGTGATTTACTTAAGGTCCCACATTTTTTGTTTACGTAAGATACACATTATTAGATCTGTTACTATAAAATACCTGTTTAAGTTAATCTATTTCTTAATTTTTTTTCATTTAATATATCAAAGTTTTATTAACATTAATTATGCGTTTGGTTTTTAACACCGTTTCATATAATTTATAAATATCACATGCCACTGAGGGTGATAGAAATGAATTGTTCCACCGAGGCAATTGAGGGCGACCGAGGCTTTATCTTCTTTGTTTTATCATTCGTAGATGGATGAGATATTTATTATATGATACCAAACAAATCAATGTTCAAGACAGACCTATTGAAATAATAACTAATAACTACACCCATGCAGCAATAGGTTTCAGCATCATTTCATCAGGCACTATGTTAAGTGATTTTATGATTTCCTAAAATATAAGTCGTCAATGCCTTTATCAAGTTTGGATTTTTTGGTGCAATATTCGTTTAATTTAGGCATAAAGATTATAACATGAGGTACACAAGTTCTCATTCAGGGAAAGTTGTTTATTAAAATGCAGTTTAATGGGCATAATAGATCATTCTATATCGCCTTAGCCAGCTTGCAAGAGTCTTATTAATGATATTTTGCTCTAGATTCTGCCACTCCTTCTTCAGCGCTATTTTAAGTCCACGCAAAGTGTATATTTTTCGTTTTTGTAATTGGCGTTTTAGGATGCCCCAGATTCCAAAGTCCATGGGTGCTGCATCAAGACTCTTTTGCATCCATTCATCTGGGGTTACGCACTTGACATTACCTTCTTTGAAAATCTCTTTTGTCTGGGCAGCTGTGTGGCTCGAAGCACTGTCCTAATGGAATACATTTTCCTTTTCACGACCAGGAACAAACGTGTAACGTCATTTTTCATAAATGGCTCTAACAGGTTTTTACATAGTAGCCTGCATTTACTTTAACAACTTTATTTATAATTTTCAAGGACGTCTTACCGTATAAACTAACTCCTGCCCATACCATATACCCTGGTGCAAACGAATCACGCTAACCAATCTTAAGTCTTTGTCTGTCTAGTTTTCTCTTACATAGAAAACACGCCTACGACTATAGCTTCCACCGATATAGCACATTGCCTCGTCCGTAGTGACAAAGATTTTCCATTTCCCACTATTTAAGCGGAAGTACAGCCGCCAAGAACGAAACGTCTGTTCTGAAGTTGCTTCTCATGAAGAGTCCTGCATTTTTTCTAGTTTCATACGTATTATGTTAGAAATGATACGATTGACTGTTGACTGAGATACCCATAGTTTGTTTGCCATCTTTCTTTGGGTTGGTGGATGCACCTATCTTATCATATTGCGTATCTTTCGGATGACGTCAGCTGTAGCAGCAGTACGTTGTTTTTTATAGGGCCAATTTTTACGTTATTGCCAGTGTTGAACGTGCAGAAATATTGGTTTCAAAAGTGTTCATATAAATATGAATCACCTCTCGTTTTTATAACCTCTGAGCCGTTTAGGAATTTAGAAAAGGATTCCCGACCAATCAGATCGCACTTATAATTTATCAGAATCGACAAGGAATTCCCTTCCTAAAATGAGTAAACAGCTCAACAGATCATAATATCAACATACAGAGTAAACATATAAAGTTATAAGTAATCATTTTGTCAAGAAAAAACACTTTTACTATTAATTGCATTTCAATTAAATGGTTATGGTAATTTGGCAGAATTACTGCAATTTTAAGGGCATAAGGGTGATTCCACAACTTAACTAAACTATAAGAGCGACCAAACCAATAATGCGGTCTTGCTTTACAAAATTAAACCTTTACAGTAAATCTCTTGAACAATTTGAGAAGCAAACATTATAATCACATAATACAAAATACATGTTACACAATAAAGTAAAATATGCTTCATTTTAATACAAAATACAGATTTCACTACGCATGTACCTAAAACAACGATGGCAGTTAAAAAAGTAAGGCTGTAAAATAACAAAAAAAATAGTGAAAAAATTTATTGTAAGCACAGATGACCTTGACCTTGTTACCCAAAACACTGGACCACCCAAAATATGTTCCTTCCAGTTTTGAAAAATATCAGTCAATATAGGCTTTATATGCAAATGTGTAGAAATATATTTTGGCACCCTTGACCATTGACCGGTAACTCAATACAAATAAAGAATATCATGCAAGTTATCTTCCTACCAAATATATAAAAAACATATGTCAATAAAGAGGCTGTATAAGAAAAAATGTAAAAATCAATTTTAGCACTGGTGACATGCACCCAACTGACCCCTAACTCCATTCAAAGGAAGATGACTTATATTCCTACCAAAAATAAAGTATATATGTCGATAGATAAAAGTTCTTCCTGTAAAATTGTAAACATCTATTTTTTGCATTGGTGATATTAACATTGATCCAAATGACCCTTAACTAAACTTTAAGGAACAGGATCTCCCTAGGCATATATGTACGGTATAAAAGACACCTTTTTTTAAAAAAAAAAAGGCTATGTGAGCAAAAATGCAAACGATTAGTTTTAACCCAATAACTTTGACCTTGATCTCAGTGACCCCTTACTTCAGAAACAAGTATGAGGACTATCAAATGTAACAATCTGCCAAATATAGGATTTATCATAAAACAAATGTGGAAATGAGGAGAAATTTAAAATAAATCCAATTTGTGGATTCGGTTTACCATACTAGGTCCTATTTTCAAAGTGATGAAAAGGGAAATGACTGTGAAAAGATGGATTGATGTATATGTTATAACTTATCAATATAATGTACTTTGTATTGATAAATAAGTGTGGAAATTGTGAAGCCATTAGTACAAACTGAACCTTAGATATATCCAACTTGCCGGTTTAGCTTAACACCATCTATTTTTTAAGTGCTGAAAAGGACAATAACATGGAAAAAAGAAAGCCATAGTTATGTAACTTGACCAGATTATGTAATTTGTATTGATTGGTAAGTGTGTAAATAAGGAAGACATTGGTACAGGTAGAACTTAAGATATACGTTGAGGTTGATCTTGCGCAGACAGACGTGCGGTTCAGTTACTATATACCCGGGGCATATACATACATGTATATATGCTCACCAGTACGTCTTTATATATTAACACTTACATCAAAATATTTTTATTAATAATAGTTTTTAGTATTTGTTCCGGCTGTTCATTCATTAGTTTTATATTATTATATATAAAGATATTGAGTCATATCTGTTGATTTTGAATACATTTCATTTTAAGTACAATGTATGTTTAAACATGAGTTAATTAATGTTTACTACCCGCGATAATTGAACAACATTTTGTTTGTTTGTTTTTTTGTTTCATTTTACGCCTTTTTCAAACAGTATTTCAGTCATATTGAACAACATAGAAAACACAGCAAAAATTGCATTTAAACAAATGAATAAATAAATATAAGATTCGGTGGAAACCTTTAACACATTCAGACATCCATATGTTTGTGTTTACAGAATATAATTTCTCTACTTTAAGAAACATTTAAATTACTTATTAAGCAGACAGATACTGAAGTGTACTTGTACAGACTACATTTATGAAGAGTACGAGATTTTAAAATGCGACTGTATGAAAACGCTCGAATGTATGTTATCAAATCTAAAATTGTTTATATGAATTTGTTTGAATTTTCGAAGTATGTATATATAAGATAAAACTTTAATCACTTAATTCTCAAAATTGCATTGTCACCTGGCTACTCGTTCATTCATACACGTTTACAATTGGCTGATGAAATGACTGATAAGATTACAATCGTTGTTCAATTTACCCTGTTATCAGAAATTGATTATTGAAATTTTACATTTTGTTCTAACTACATACGTTAACTTGACACTAGGTTGCACAAAATGGTGCATGGTGATGTAAAATGAATTGAATGTGTCAATCGAATGAATTAAATGTTCCTTTTTTATGCACATCATAGGGTGATTTACATAAAATGAATATTATTACTAAATTCATTGAATTTATTTGGATACTATGTTTACTTTATCACTACATACAACACTATCACGTGACAGGTGGCCGCTGTAGTTGGGGATCGTGGTTGCCATGGAATTGCTCATGTTGTGGAGGTTCATTGGAAAAAGATGTTTACAGGGTTAGGGCCAAGTGCTGTGATCATACTTATGAATGTTCAGTCAGGAGAATAATGTCTTTAGATATCTCGGATGAAAATAAATTTGGAGATAAGGGCAGCTGTTCGAAGGATTGTGAAACGCGATTTTCTCAACACAATTTCAACACTTGTGTTTCATCAAAGATGATTCTAGACGATTTATCAGCACAAAGCAAAATCAAATCATGTGAAAAAACGTGCTTAGGTATGTTTCTCTGTCATGTTTTTTTCTATAATTAAGTTAATATCTTATATTCTTTATTATGTCGAGGCCGAGCATGTTGTAAATAGTATCACTATTTAAAATATTTAGTGTTAAACCTCAGCGTAGTATGAAATGAACAGTCATTTTGATTATTTATGTTCTCAGTATTTTGCGCAATAACTCTTGCTATTCTGTAGTATTGATTAAGACAAATGTATTTACCATACAAAACCGATATATTTATAAAACATGATTCTCACGATGATCAGTGTTTGTAAGATGGATTGATATCCGAAATACGAAAATGACTTTATCAAAAAAATATAAAGCAAATGTTTCTATCAATTTATAACTGGAATACGAGCATGTGGTTATTTTATTGTTGCCTAGAATACGGTATTACACAACTGGCCATAAATGCACCAATGCATCTAATTCAAACGTTAACGCTTGTATTATTATCAATTTTTATGTTATTTAAAAAGTATTCAGATGAATGTAAACTGATATATTGAGAAAGTTGAATGAGTTATAATTTAGTTCGTCAATAGAGACAGAGATGTCAAGTTTTACACATATATATCTGTATTCATGATACGCTTAATTCTACTTAAGTCGGTGTTTGCGGGTGTGAATTGATCACTTTTGTTCTCAAAGATATTGTTGCCCTCAATTTTGTCTGTGTTTGACAATCATTTATATTTGTTTGTTTGTTTGTTTGTTTGTTTGTCTAAAGATGTACTATATCGGATTCGCTTTATTGAACAATAATCATACAATGCATTTAGGCTGTTTTGATTTCATTGTTAATGCATTTAGCCAATGTTTATTAAACATGTTCTTAAATAATCCAGAAAAAATATACATACCTTAGGATTCTAATTCATTTACCCTTTGTGTTGTAATATACAGGAACATTAACAACAACAACAACAACACTTGCTGCAAAACCAACAGCCACCAAAGTACATAACGCTTCTTCGCAAACCACCAAAATATTTCGTGGAGGTGAGAACGGTACTATTACAACGAAGAATGACCAATCCCAAACTTCCTCTTTGCAAACTGGCATCTCAAACAAAGATACAACAATATTTCCGGGCGTTGTCACAGGGCACGTTTCGAAGAGGATGACATCGGCAAATGCGTCATTCACATACCCGTCTTCTTCCAAGTTTCAAACTGGTAACAATGTCAGTTCTGAGAAAAACACACCGTCAAATGGTAGGTAGTTAGCAGATAAAGTTTTACTTTATGAAATAAATAGGTGTAAGAATGATGCTGTTAAATTATCTAACTTCTCCATATACTTTCTGTATCATTTGTATAAAATATTTTTTTTCTTGTCAATAATTCTAATATATTTTCATCATTATAAATAGCTACATAATTACCATTGGTCATCCAAAACTAGCGATAGACATAGTGAATAGTTCCAGCCGCCAATAGAAAAGTTTTAAATCTTGACTTATACCTGTATCTGCAAATAACAGGAAATAACATTTAATCAAACAAAGTAACATTTATAGACAAGATTAAATAAAAATATCTTTAAACGTCTATCATATAGTAACTCCTGAATATATGATGTTTATAACAAAGCATCAACATGTAAATTATCAGAATTTGGTTTAAGCGGGTTTTATTCAGAAGTCATTTCTTATGCTTTTTTTTGTTTTTACATTGAGCGGATTTTCCTTTCTTTCTTTTTTTACTTAATATTAAAAGCTTACCTATTTTGTTAAAGTAGAATTTTTCGATAATGGCATTAACATCACACTAGATATTGTATCTGGTGACAATTAATAGGATTTTTAACCGTATATACATGAGCAAGTCCATGTATATATCTTTATTCTATATTCCAGGTGGAAGGACAACTAGTCTGAACACATTCGCCAAGTTCTTGCTCGGAGTTCTCATTCTCCGGTCACTTATGCTGACGACTGCTGCTAATTTTGATATTTTAGTTCGTTAAATTGTCATAAAACTAATGTGAAAAAATACAATGCAGTATCTGAATTGAAAGAAATATTTGTTTTTTATAAATTTTTGAAATTGATCTTTTTTTCGAGTTTTTGTATGAATGATAAATGTTTGTCAAATAATGTTTATAATAAACAGTATTAACAATACACATTATGCTCATAATTTCATTGTCAGATTGAGCTGAATTAAGTATATACTTCAAAAGATTGAATGTTCTAATGGAGATCGAACAACGTTAGATTTTGGAAAATGTTAAAGATAAAATATAAATCTGCCTAAATTATAAAAAAAAAACTCTCCCACTATTTTTATAAATTGAACGATACAGGTAAATTCCGAAAGATTTTTACGGAATGTGTATTTTTGGTCACGCGAGTTATTTATCGTTTATGCGAAGGAAATTATAAAATTGAAAGGAATTATTTTGGCAAAATATATTTTATTTTGACTATCACCTGTTTACTCACTGTATACCCTTGGATACACATAATGTCACTTAAAGAAAGTAAATACGTATGTCATACTGCACATGTCTAAATGTATGAATTTAAGATAATAATTGTATGGAATTTTGTATACAGTGTATAAGATTTAATTTGTTTGAAAGTGACCTTTATATTTTCGTAAAATTTTACAAATATTTAAAAACTGTCCTGTTTACATAAAACTCTGTTCGTCTCTCTTTGTTTTATCATCTAAACATAAGATATTGTGACAGACATGTTTTGTGTCGTTAGCACTTATATAATCTATTTCAAGATATGAAGAAAATTTAATCTTTGTTAATGTTACATTGAATATGTTACTCGTGTTTTCCTTACATATATCTTGTTTCGATAGGTCTTCAGAAGCGATTGTTAATAGACATCAAAATGTGCTTCATAACATACCCGAATGCAAACATATGTGTATTTAGACAATAATTTCTTTTCTATTTTCTATACCAATTGTTACTTTCGTTTCATTTCTAAATATTCGTTAAAGCTTCATGCCTCCAGATGAATACAGATATTTTTTTTAAACATCCTACTTAGGAAATTTGTATTTAAATTAATGTTTATCTCGCGCACACATATTCATATATCGAAAGATGCTTTGCATGTTTCATATAAAGTATGGAAGGTGTTACTGTTTTTAACACCAACTATATTTGACTAAGAAAGTAAAAGTCATTTTTGTATATATTTGACAACAAAATATTCTGTCGATTTTTGGCATGGGGTTGCTTGAATCACTTGACATCGTTTTTACATACCTTTTATCGTCTTTCTTAATATTAACTGATAAAATAAAATTGGAGGTGTTCTGCATAAGGGATTACTTGCAGATCGGTTTGTGCTACAAACTTGTTTATACGCATCGGCGATATTGTCTTATCTGATAATGAATGTACATGTTATCATCGTTTAAAATGTAAAACAGAGCTTTAAAAGATAAATCATGAAAGAATATTAAAAAAATTGTTTTTGATTTTATGTTTGCGAAAACATTCTTGAAAGATTGATTAGATAGCATTTCTTTTATTCAGAATTTATACCGAATATCAATAGCATACAATTGGACGTTGTAGCGATTCCCTAATTTGATTAAATGTGCCATTATATCACAAAATACATTCAGTCATTACCGCTAGCTCAAGAGGCGTTCTGGTAAAAACAAAATTCCGTTGGTCTTTTGAAAACTTCAGTATTGGTTATGACCTTTTACACGTTAATACATTGTCAGATATTTTTTCAAGATTGACTGGAATATGTTTACTCAAACAATTAGATAATATTGTCGAAATAAGCAATTATGGTTGTTCTTAACAAGTTGAGGCATTTTATAATATTACTTACGAATCAGATACTTCCGTATCCATTTATTAATTCCAATCCGCAGAATGTGTATCATCTCTTTGTGAATACTTACAGACTTCTATCACATACGTTTAAATCAATATTCGATGCTTATTTTGTACGAATGTTGAACTTAAAATACATGGTTCAAATCAGTTTTATATTGCGTGCATGTTTTCTCAGGCGATTATATTTGAATTATTTTTTGGCAAATATAACGCATTTTCTAACAAAGGAAAAGTAGTATCCGAAAGTTTGTTTGTTCTATTGATATTTTAGACAAATACTTAAATATCTTTGATTGTATTTTATTGTAGTTGTTGTTGTTTTTGCTTTGTTCTCATTTGTTTCTTTTTTTCAAACATTTCGATCGGTTCAGTATTTCACCCATCAATTGCAATACATTTGCCAATTTTTTTGTTTTAACCCGAAACAGAATGTAATCTAAACCTTTATTCTTTATCAGTAATTACAAATTCTTTAAGTCTTACATTAAAACGTCTAATTTTTGTTATCTACATTTAAATCAAAGATATGTTCAGTAATAAGCACATCATACGTAAAATATAAAATCAAACATCAAAACCTATACTTTTGTATATGTATTTTCTCAAATTTTGACAACATAAAAATAGTGTATAAAAGAAGTTTACTTACTGTTATCACATGATAATTTAAAATATATAGGCTTCCAAGAAAACTATAGATCTTATCTACGTTGAGGATACTATATAACAGTGGGATTTATATGTAAAAATGATTAAATATGTAGTGTTTGTACTTCTTGTGCACTCCATTTTCTCACTGTTAGGAGAGAACAGCCAATTCATTTCTAATGCTACACCAACATTACAAACAGTATCTTCCGCATTAACACAATTTCCAGACTTTTCGGAAACACTGACAGATATTCGCTTCGGTTCGGAGCTAAGAAAGCTTGAATCGACTCTTGTGCTTGTGAAACCCATGTATAATATCATTGGAAGCTATTAGGAGTGGAATAGGTTTTATTTCTTACCTTGTTTCACGTTGTCTAAGGGCCTTATAAATGTGTTATTGTAGTTATTGAATCGTTATAATATTTCAATGTTACAAATGTACATTTGTTAAGATAAAAGTTTCATTGCATTCCAATATCCATTGATATGAATGCCATATCAAGTATGTAGAAAGTTATATAAAAACTCTTAACTTCGTAATATTCAAATTGATTTTAAATTGTTTTGTTGCATATTTTTATCTCTGTTATATTTTTGCATATGGCAACATGAGGATTTTATTTATTCCGATACTGAACAGTTATGGAATTTATTGATTAACATTGATTGAAATTGTATATTTTTTAACACCTTTTTGTCGATGATAAGAAAGAACAGCGCATTTCTTCCTGGATTGTTAAGCGTAATCATTGGTAGAGATTAAAAGTGTATTTTTTCGTATATGGTAATGTTTTATAAACTTGGAAATTATGCAATATTGACCCATATAAACACAATTATCCAAATGGTAATATTAATGAAACCCAACCAAATGATAAAGAAGCGTGATAAGAAATAAGAATATTCAATCAAGCATATTAAAAGATTGTGACTCTGGAACTTTTTTTAAACTCGTTTAAGGTTAGGCTTGACACTGATTTATGCACATAACAATTTAGGCTACTAAAATCTATTTAGCTTTGATAGAATTATTCAAAAATTTGGATCGGCATGAATAAATGTGGGTGTATTTATATTATAAGTTTAATAGTGGCAGTGTTTGTGTTATATCAACAAGTGACGTATACTCTTGCTTCTGATGAATCATGTACCTGGAGTTTATGGTCGCCATGGAATTGCTCATGTTGTGTAAGTTATAACCATATACCAACAAAAAGAGTTCGCATGAAATGTTGTTCCAATACCACAGAATGTCCTAAACTTCGAATTTCAGCGGAACCTATTGTCTACACCGATGATGACCATGAGATTCGCAACGAATGTGAAAAAGATATTTGTAAAGATGAAACTAAATCATACTACAAAAACTGTCCTCATGAACCTCCTGAAAAAAACATTTTGTCGTGTCAACGCACATGTACAGGTAAGTTTTGTTTAACTGCTCTCAGACGATATTTTGGAAATAAGCAAAGGTGGTTGAAATATTCGCTTTATATCAAACATTTAGTTTGTTGTTGTTGGGGGGTTTTTTTTGTTGTTGCTTTTTGTTGTTTTGGTTTGGTTTTTTTTTTGTCATAGTTAACGAGATTTACTTAGAATGTTCTTATGATCAGGGCCGAGTGAATGGTTTATATTTTTTTCTTTGGATATGGTACAAATATTCTTAATTTTCTTAATGACATATTTAGTATTCCAACCTATTATGGTTTAGCATACTTCTACTGTATTTCTAGTGACAGATATGTTTTAAAACTACGTTTGTACAATTGCAAGTTTTTTAACTGTTTGGTTTTGTTCACATTTCTCTGGGGAAGTGTCCCTTTTCTTGAATTTATATACATGTACTCATTTAAGCAAACACTATGTGCTCGTGCAGTGGCAACTGTTAAAACGTTGACTAAAACTGTATCTTACCGTTGTTGTATTTTTCTGTCCCTTTGGTGTCAAATCAATTGTATGCACGTGTCTTGGGAAAACATGTCACTGATAGGAAAATATGTTTTCTTTACTGATCTAAAGTTGTCATAACAAAGTGCCTTATTGTTTAAGGGAGTTGGTTCAGCTTTACAATTATAGCTACTTAGCCTTGCCTGTGGAAAACTCAGTTTATAGAATGCATAATGTTGAATATTAAATTAGGCCATATTAGTTAAATCCCTTTAAAACTTCTGTCTCCAGGTTTAAAGTTTTAGCATTAACCTGGTCATAGTGTTCACATACTAAAATTGAACCTGGCAAGATTTTGACATATTGTTTCCATGAAAATGTAAGAATGATTTAATTCGTATTTTATTCAAGACAATAAAATATATTCAACTAAAGCATGTAAAGTACTTTAGTTTATATATCAAAAAAGACCATTGTAGAAGTTCAAACTAAAAATATTTTGCTTTGATCAATATGCAACGATATTTTCAGGTTTTGAGTCTGGAAATGGTTTAGTGAAGATACCATCGACCCCGCCGTCGGTGACTAACCAATCTGCATACCCCTTTACTCCCGGATTACAATTACAAAACAACCACACAAACACATCTAATGGCACGAGCGGTATGTTATTAAACAAGATTGTATAGGTTTTGTTGAAATGCAAAAATTTTGATTCACATTAATTACTGTTAACTTTTAAGCGTATACAAATATCAATGATTCCAACGATTCTAAAAAGATCAAGCGTTTAATTGAATAAAAAAATTCAAAAATTGAGAATTTGAAGTCCTTTTTTCAATTATGATGTTTTTTAACATTTTCATTTGATATGAAAAACAAGAGCACCGCAAAGGCTGGGCAATATACGCCCGAACGCAACTTTGTTTGTGTAATCAAAATAATGTTTCAAATAGGGAAGAAACCCTCATTTAACTTCACCATCATTTTACTATCTTAATTATTCCTTTAATACAAAACAACCTTTAGGGTTGTTCCGTCTTATACCCTAGGTGAATGATTCATTCAACTTTGATAGAAGTCACCAGGAAATACTACATGCCAAATATATCATCCCTCAACACTGTAGCTCTACACAAAAAGATTTGAAATAAGGCATACATATGTTTTCCTATATAAAGCCCTTATACATCAAGTGACGCCCGGTGTCAATTTTGATCTGAGAAAGTCCATACATGGGCTTTTTACGTCGTCTCATTTAAAGTAATATTTCTGCCTCCTGCAATCGGTTGTAAAGATACAAAGCGGACATGAAATTTTGAAATTTATACTAAATTACTTAGTGTAACCTTAACCATGACCTGAGAAAGGTGAAACCTGCACTCAGCACATTGTCTCATAATGGTAAACATTTCTGTCGAGTAGTTTTAATTTCTTTACACTGGTTCAAAAGATACAGACTGGACACGAAACCTGCTCATAGACAGACGGACGAACAGGTGTATAAAAATGAACATCAACGATTTTCAAGCTGAAATCTTCTCTTCTTATACATAAAAATATATTTGCCAAAAGAAGAATTGTCTTGGACTATTACCCGTTGGTAATTCGATTTTATCTTTTTTCTGAATTTGCATATGAAACTTATTTTGCCGCAAATTTTGTAAAAAAATGCAAATTTAAAATAATAAGTGGACAAAAATATTTATTTTTAAGAATATTATTAAATGTTCAAATCAAAATTGTTAATACATTTTGTAAGAGATACATGCTTTGTTATCAATATCCTATGAAATAGATATTTTGAAGAGGGGTATTACGTTAAGTAAAATTCTTATATAACATTTTTGAAGTTTTGTGACAACACCATGAATATCTGTTTCATAAAGCTGAGGCATTGTCGGCAAAAAACTTAGTTGTAGTTAGTCATCAAATGAAATGCATCATGTTGAATATAATTTAGGCCATATTATGTAAGTTTAATCCCTTAAAAATGCATAATACAGCATTTGTTTTCTCCGAGATTAAAGTTTCCGAATCAATCCATTCATAGTGTTTACATACAAAAAATGGGACTTGACAAGATTTTGACATATTGTATCAATGGAAATGTAAAAATGATTTAATTCGTATTCAAATTCAAATATTATCAAGTAAACTACTTTAGTTTATATATCAAAAAGACCATTGTAGAAGTTCAACATTACGTATCAACTTCAGGAATACCTGTTAAAATAAATACTAGTATAAATAAATATCTCTGTTTTATATTACAGGTGGAGGGACAAATTGTTCGAGCACTTTCTCTGGTTTGTTACCAAGAGTTATCATTATTGGACTATTTATGCAGACGGCTGTAACAGTACTTATGATGTTTTAGTGCGTAAAATGTTTATAACGCTTTACAAGGACGAATGCAATCTGTATAGTTTGTATTCGTTACAAAAAATAGAAGGTAATACATGTAGATTGAAAGTAATGTTTTTAGATTTCTAACGATGCAATGGCACATGAATACACTTGTTTAACCTTCTAAAAATAGCGGGTATACTTTGTAAAGGGACTTTTAAATGCGTTTATCTCATATTTTACTAATATGTTTAATAAAAATAATGTCTTACAATTAAAGTTAAAAACATGACAACATCAATTGTACACTTAACAAATCTTATAAGTGTGCATGTATAAATGGTTTCATAGGTGTATCAATATTTGCCCGATCATGCTGAAATTTTCAATAAATACATAAAAGAGACATGTTATCATTTTCATTAAGTTTTATTTATTCAAGATACAAATTGAAGATTTAATTTTTAAAAAATGTGAATGCGTGTCGAAAGTCGATGTTGCAAAATGATGTCCTTACACTGTGTGTGCCCACACTGACTGTGTATTACAGCCTAACAGCGTCGTCACATCAATGTTACATACCGTTGTAGATAATTTTGGGGTTGGTGAGGAAGGTTACCAAAGAAGTTGCTCTGTGATTAAAGATTAGTCTTCTTAGGTAGTTTGGTGTACACTTTTGCCAGGCGCAACCTACAAATGATACATACAAGTAATTTCTAAATAAAAATTATGCATTTTATGTTCGTCTTTGATAGAAACTGAATTAAAACGATTTTCGGCTTTTACAATGCAAAGGAATTAAAAAAAAAATGAACAAATAAATTTTGTTACCAACCTCCGTTTGGTGTACACCAGCGATGACCAATCCTAGGGCTATGTCACGCTGTTGTATAGATAATCTACCCATGTGGTGTTTTTCTGATATGTCGATCTCTATCGTATCCGAGAATATCATGTGCAATCTTATTTTACCCATTCTCACATTTTTTTCGTGCATTGTGGGAATTTCGTTCGTTCATGGTTGAACGCACCTCATAATTAAAATTGGCATGCTTGAGCACATGAAATGTGTGGAAATGCAGCCAATAGTCAGAACACAAAATATTGTAAAAATATATTGATAAACGAAAAAGTTATAAGGACATAAAAGGTGCACACTTATAAGATTTGTTAAGTGTACAAATGTTAGATTTAATATTTTGTTTTTCTTAACTAAATAGTGTATCATTTAAAGCTTTTAAACACTTATAACTATCTCTGTAGACATAAATGCAAACAAAATTATCTTTTCGTATTTTATTATTATTTAACAAAATTTAAGAATATATTGATGCAATTGGTTATTAAGAATGTAAGAATGTGATATTTTAAGTAGAAAAAAATATGCAAAGTAGGCAGACAGCTAGTGAATGAGTGGTGTGAATGTGTGTACCTTTACGAGTGTTTAGGCCTGCAGGCGAATGGTCTTTTGCTCTGTATGTACGTTAAATGGGTGTTTAGGTCTGCAATATAACAAACATAAGCCTTGAAAGTGTGTGTAAAATGACAACTTCTAGACATATGTAATAAAGTGCACAAATACAGCGTTAAAATACATAAATGCTTGATAAGAAAATATATGACAATGGTTAGAAGTAAGTAAGCAAGTAAATTATAAATGTGTAAGTAAGTATTTACTTATCTAAATGCATTGTAACTAGAACATATATGTCTATGTATATTTTCATCAATAAATACGATTCAATTTTGTTTATAGGAAAACTTTATGATTTTCATTTGAACGTTTTTGTTAAACAAATTATGTAAAAATTATATGTAATATCTGAGGTAGTTCATAAAAAATGTCCAATTTTATTTTTACGTGTATGAATGTGTGCCCTTATCTGTTAAATCATGAGCTGTCTCGCAAATACTTACTCATGAAAATTTAATAAGAACTTAATCTATCACAGACATAAATATTTTAATTGGTATTTTCTTCTAAAAGTTTTGGTTAATGAATAAACTCTTTTTAAATTTTATAACAATAAATTGTACACACATCAGCAAAATTGTAATTTTACTTTTCATTTTGAATAGTCAATTTAGATTCTATTTGTATTTTACTTCTTATTATGTTAATTCTTTTCGTGTCTCTAGATACGTCAAATTAAAATTTTTAGAAATGTGTATTGCTTTATATCTCTTGCCTATAGTATACAAAATCAGTGTTTTAGTTTTGAAATAGGATAGTTTCAAAATACCTGTATGAAAGAATACGTCTGTATATTCCCTGAAGATCGACTGGCGCGCGGACATAATGATTTCTAAACTGTTACAACCCTACCTAAAATAGCAGCATAATTTTTGGTCCCGGAGCATTGTATTCTGTTCACATATAATATTCTTCTGTTTCAAATAACAAGATTCACAATTTCGAGAATCACCCTTAAGATCATAGAATCAACATAATTTTAATTTTTTATAGACTGTATGCATATATTTCATTACATATACCTGAAATACACTTTAAGGAGTGTGCAGAAACAAACATGTAACCTTGCATAAAAATGCTTAGATCTAGTAGTATATGTGTTTTATCATCCGTAAGATTCATGAGATCTTTGCAAACTAAAGCTGATTTTTTTAACTTCAATCGACATCAGGGTTATTGCTGCATATTTGACATGTTAAGGTTCTTTTCTGTAAAGTAAAA